ACGAGAGAGGACAATCGAGTTGTTAGCTTTTGAGTAAGTGGTTTCCAGTTTAAATGCGAGTCTAGCTCTATCCCTAGCATGATTGCAGAGTTTACAGTTTCTAATTTGTTGGATTTGTATTGGTAGTTGATGTTTAATGGGGTCTTTTGATGAGGTCTATATTCCATTAATTTAGTTTTCTCCAGGTTAAGCTGTAGATTGTTACACTCTAGCCATTTTGTAAGCGAATCTAATGTTGCGTCCAATTTTACTTTAAGTGAATCAGTGCTTGTGCAGGAAAAGACTACTGAAACGTCATCTGCGTAAAGCACATTATCAAAAGGAATTGAATCTGACAGGTCATTCACGTATATCAGAAAGAGTATACAACCTAGAACGCTACCTTGTGGTATTGATCCGGTGATAGGGGTAAAATCAGATCTGATATGTCTAATTTCTCCAGTTTCGAAGTTGACATTTTGTATTTCTACGCTCTGGTGTCGATTCCGAAGATAACATTTAAACCACTCAAATGCTAGTCCCCTTATACCGAGCCCGTAGATTTTATCAAGTAAATTTTTTTAATTTACTCTATCATACGCTTTACTCATATCGAGTAATAAGCTTATCGCGTGTTTCTTATTATTAATTATATCAAAAACTTTTTGTAATAACTTATAGACGGCTAGAGTGGTTGTTTTGTTTTTCCGGAAACCATATTGATTTTTGTGAAGAACTTTAAACTTTTCTAAAAATGCTATAATTTTATTAGCCATAGCTGTTTCAAATATCTTAGCAGATGTCGGTAGGAGTGCAATAGGACGGTAATTACTTATTAAGGTTTGTTCGCCCTTCTTGTGTATTGGCTTTACTACAGATATTTTAGGGAATCTGGAAAACATCCCTCCTGAAAAGACTGATTTATTAATAGTGTGTATGGTAATGTTAATTCTTCCGCACATTTTTAATTAAGCATGGGGGGATGTCATCGACTCCAAAGCTAGATTTACTTTTAAGTAAGTGTCTCTCGGCTCTAGAGATTGTAAATAGAGTGAACTCTGTATTGAGTTTGAGTTTTTGGGTCTTTATATATTGATTGGTTCTGTTTTAACACAATATTTTGTTTAAGTAGTCGGGGTTTTTGATTTAATTGTTTGTTAATTATATGCCACATAGTTTTACTTTTGTTTTTTGAGTTTGAATATTTATGAGTGTTTTCTATCTTTTTTGATATTTGTACAGCTTTTTTTAATAGTTTACAATACTTTTTATAATAATTATCTAATATTTTACTTTTTGCCTGTATTTTAATCAATTTTAATAATCTATTATTTCGACAGTATACTTTAAGGGCTGGAGTAAGTTTTGATTTTGCAGGTGCATGGCATAGTTTTATAGCTAACTTGGGTATATATTTATCTAAGAGTTGTTGGAGACCAATATTAAATGCATCATAGTTGGTGTTGGTGTTTTGGTCTGGTTTTATTATTTCAAACCACTTTACTCCTTGCAGTTCTTTTTTAAATTTATTAATATTTTTGTCATTAAATAATCTTTTCAGTAGGAAGAAGTTTTTAGGGGCCTGCATACATAATGGTACGGAGAGGATCAGGCTTTTATGGTCTGAGAAAGCGAAATCATTTACTACTAAATGGTGATTGTTTGACTCAAAATTTAAAAAAATAAGATCTAAACAACTGGAAGTATTTTCAGTAACTCTGGTGGGTTCTTCGACTATCTGGTGAAAATTATACATTAACATTGCTTTTTTTAAGTTATTTGTTTCTAGACTATTTGCCATAAAGTTCACATTAAAATCTCCCCCTACTATAACAGATTTTGAAGTGTCCTTCAATGATAATAATGCCATGAGTTTTTCAATACACTCATAAAATACATCTCTATTCTTATTACTATTTGGCCAGTATAAATTAATTATAACTACGTTTTGTCTAGTTAATTCAACAGCAGATATTTCGAAGATGTTTTCTTGAGAATTTTTTTCTATATCTTTTCTTTCTTTAGTCTCTAGGTTCTCCTTTACCAGTATGCACACGCCTCCCCCTTCGGTTTTCTTTCTACTTTTCCGACAAAAGCTCGATGCTATCCGATATCCAGTTAAATTAAAGAGTTCAAGTTTTTCTTTGTTTAACCATGTTTCTGTTAGGCAATAAAATTTTGTTTTGGTTTTGTTCAATAAAATCTTCTAGTAGGTGTACTTTGTTATTTACGCTTTGCATATTTTGGTAGAAAACATTTATGTTTTTATCGAAAGGACTGGTTTTTGTTAGGCCTGGTAGGATTTGTATTATTTCCATTTACTTCGCTGATGATATGGTTAAGTCCGGGTCCAGTAAACTCTTTTCCATCTACTATTAGCTTTCCTTTCCTTATGAAAGCATTTTGACCCTTTTTCCGGATCTCCATAAGAGCCTTTTTCAGTTCGCGCTTTTGTTTTAGATCCGACTCACTTAGGTATTCGGAAATGCCCAAACCAACCTCTCTAAAGTATGCTGCATTACGTAATATATATTTCCTTAGTCTTTTATTTGATAATTCTATCCTTATTGGTCTAATATTCTTTCCTCTATGCCCTATGAAATTTATTTCTTCGATGTATGGGGGTAAATGTATATTTAGTACATCTTTAAAAATGTATGAAATTCGATCTACTAAATCATCCTCCGTTTCACGATATTCAGAAGATAACCCATGCAAGACAATATATTTTTCGAATTTCATGTCAGTCGTGGTATCTGGGGATTTTGAACTATGTAACTACGATTTAAACCCTATTGAAAATTTATAGGGGCTTATTTTCAATCCCAAGCTTTTGGTCTGTAATATAATCAGACACTCTGTAGTAAACTTTTCTAATAAGTACTTTTTATATAATTTGATATTGCGTCGAATATTAAAATTTGATAAATAATAGTAAATTTTAAACAACACATCCTATAGCATCATCATCATCATCATCATCATCATCAGCCTATTAATGTCCCCACTGCTGGGGCACAGGCCTTCCCTATGGATGGAATCCTATAACAATTACTATTTATTACTTAACTGTGCAGAGCTACATTTGTGCTATTAAATCAGAATAACGTATCTCATCATCAGCCTACCACAGTCGGGGCACAGGCCGTTCCTATGGATGGAATAGGGAGATTGGGACATGACCCACCACACGGGCCCAGTGTGGCTTGGTGGTCCGAAGCACAGAGGAGAACGTGAGTGACAGTTCAGGGAGGGTGCCACTGGTGTAGATTCTGGCATGATTCTCTAAACCTAAACTTAAATTTGACAACAGTGTATCCTTCTCATTCTCTATACAGAATGAAGAGGAGAGGTTATAGGGGGTGGTAGAGCGACGAGGATGCATCACTGAAATATTGTTATATTACACCAACACTGAATATGTGTGAAGTTATAGGGGGTGGTAGAGCGACGAGGGTGCATCACTGAAATATTGTTATATTACGCCAACAGTGAATATGTGTGAAGTTATAGGGGGTGGTAGAGCGACGAGGGTGCATCACTGAAATATTGTGATATTACACCAACACTGAATATGTGTAAAGTTATAGGGGGTGGTAGAGCGACAAGGGTGCATCACTGAAATATTGTGATACTACACCAACAGTGAATATGTGTGAAGTTATAGGGGGTGGTAGAGCGACAAGGGTGCATCACTGAAATATTGTGATATTACACCAACACTGAATATGTGTGAAGTTATAGGGGGTGGTAAAGCGACGAGGGTGCATCACTGAAATATTGTTATATTACACGAACACTGAATATGTGTGAAGTTATAGGGGGTGGTAGAGCGACCAGGGTGCATCACTGAAATATTGTGATATTACACCAACACTGGATATTTGTGAAGTTATATCAAGCTGTGGACCAGTAACGCCTGTGAGACATGATTATGATTACAAGGTGAGTACTTATCAGGAGGTGGCAGAGCGACGGGGGTGCATCACTGGATTATTGTGACATTGTAGTTTATTCTAAACTGTGGGCCAGTCCTGCCTAGCATCCTTTACGAACGCGAGCGGGACATGATAATAAGGTGCGTATGTAGGGGGTGGCACACCTACGAGGGTGCAGCACTGGAATATTGTGACATTACACGAAATCTGGATATTTGTGACGTTATACCGAGCTGTGGACCAGGAACGCCTGTCATCTGCTGTAAACTTAAGCTAGACATGATAACAAGGTCAGTACTTAACAGGGGGTGACAGAGCGACGGGGGTGCAACCCCAAATTATTGTGGCATTATTCTAACACTGGATTATTGTCGTATATTATACTAAACTGTGGTTAAGTCCAGGGGGTGGCAGAGCGACGGGGCTGCATTACTGGATTATTGTGACATTGTAGTTTATTATAAACTGTGGGCCAGTCCTGCCTAGCAATCTTTACGAACACTAGCTGACCGAACTGAAAAAAATGTGATAGTAAAACTGTAAGAAAAAATCCGTGGAAAAAAGTGCGTGGAATAAAACCGTTAAATGAGACGTGCGCAGGCGCGACAGTCGCATACACAAGCGAGTTTGCAATTTGTGTCGATTCTACATTAGCCGAAGGAACTTCGTTCCTACCTGGTGTCCCACGACACCACATAATTTTTTTTCTAGTTATATTTTCTTTAGATTTAAACATCAAGCAGTTACATGCTTTAAAATAATAAAAATTAGAACTATAGGAAAAAATGTTCGATTCCGGAGCGCCCAAACGATAATATCCACCTTACAGACACCCCAGTAAAATAAAACTTACTTTTGGTGTTGTTGTGTTTCTGTCGGTATGTAAGATTTCTGCACGGGGCAGGGGATTGGGTCATGGTAGGCAACGGTGCAAGTGATATTTTTTTGGTTTCGTAAGCTAGTCTATAATATATGTACATGGTGGCCGCTTACCATAAAACGGGCCATAAGCTTGTTTGTCAAAAAATGAAATAACCTACTAGCGGCAGGCTAAAGAGATTTTATCAACAGTGTCCGTCTCACCTCTGTGTAGTGGAACCACCGGATGTCCGGTTCCGGGTCGCCGGAGACGCGGCACTCAAACTCCACCGCGTCGCCGTCGTGGCATAGCAGGTCCGTTAGCTCCCGCTCGAATCGGGGGATTACGTCCACCCGCCTTCCGACACAGGGGCAAACGTTAATATAAAATGAACTAGTGGGTGCCTGCGACTTCTTTTGGGTGGAAAAAAAGGTTTCTCATACAAACTTACATCACACTTTTCACCCTCTCAAATGGTAATTTCACGAATTATAAACTATCATATGTCCTTCCCTGCGACTCAAACTACATAATCTCTATACCAAATTTCATTTAAATCGGTTCTGTTAAACTGCAGCGTGCTTGAAGAGGTAAGAGATAGACAGACATACTTTCGCTTTTATTATTATGGAATATGTGGATTAGCTTTTCTCGTCATAGTATGTCTCCTTGATAAGTACTGTTAGTCATCTTGCATTATTGATCGAGTTTCGTTAAAGTCATGCTCATTAAATGAGTAAAAGTTTTACTGCAAGCTCTTATACACCCTTTAACCAATACACCACTTAACCCATTTAGATGAAATTGATATAGATATAGTTTGATTCCAGGGAAGGACAAAAGATAGATTTTATTCCATAAATATTCCTTTGTGAGTGGGAGTAAAAAGGGGGGTGGGGCCTGTAAGTTTGTTAATAAAACTCCTTTTTCCATGCCGGTGAGGTCGCGGGCAGCTGCTAGTAATCATTTTTTTAACACTTATCCTAGCCCAAAAGGAAGCACAGTACCCTTAGCACGAACTAATATCGAATTCGAATAGTTTGCGAATCCGAAATGTCATTGTCAAATGTGTACTGATTTTTAGTTCTCGTTAGGTGTTGTGGCGCTGCTGTTCAAGTTTCCATATATAATTTGACAATGACATTTTAGACTCGCAAACTATTCGAATTCGATATTGGTTCGTGCTAGGGGTACTGTAAAGCTTGTATATAGGAAAATGGGGGAACGGATTTACATATACTATATGTATATAATATATGTATATTTATAGGTACTAGAAATATTATTTAAACATTCAGCACAAATATGCTCGTATTCATCATAGAAACATTTGCCCCACCGGGATTCGACCTCTGAGTAGGAGACACCTTGAAACCCGGCGTATGTACATACACGTACCACTCGTGACACGGAGACATCGGAGGACTATAGAAATTAACAGCCGTACTCAGAAACGTATATTTATTTTATTGCTACATTAAGTCACGTCTAAAGTAAATGTTTATTCAATGTTTCGTCATTCAAATGCAAAGAAAATGATACTAGAAAAAAATCCACACGGCTAATGTGTCAGGCTGGATCATATAATACCGTAAAATGGGGTGTATAGAATTGACGGTGTGAATAGAGACTAAACCGGGAAAGTTTTTATTATCAAATTAACTTGCCACTAAGAAAATAGAATTTAATAGTATAGTTTTTTCGGCTAAAATGTTTTTATTTATACATTAAATTGCTACATTTATAAATGCAAAGAAAATGATACTAGAAAAAAATCTACACGGCTAATGTGTCAGGCTGGATCATATAATTCCGTAAAATGGGGTGTATAGAATTGACGGTCGAATAGAGACTAAACCGGGAAAGTTTTTATTATCAAATTAACTTGCCAAACTAACTTGAAAATAGAATTTAATAGTATAGTTTTTTTAATGATAGTAATATTTTTTGTACGAGTTGGCAACATCGATTTTATTCTGGAGTTTTGAATGGACGAAAAAACAACGGCCAAACGTCGTCGGTCAAATGGTGAGTAAAAGTGCTCCTCAAAGGTTGGTGTTTTAATTAAAGAAAAACTTGTTGTTCTGTGATAAAAAGTTATTTCAGTTGATCTTCATTCTATTGTGATTCATTTTTACATAATTGTAAGTAAAACAATGTCTTAAATTTATTGTTATGGATGAAAATAGTACATCATGTAGATTTTTATCTGGGTCTGAGGTAAATAGCAACGAGAAAGGGGTGAATAGATATGCAGTATGGGGTGAATAGATACGTCGTATGGGGTTAATAGAAATGAAAGGGGTTGAATAGAAACCAGAAGGGTTCAATAGAAAACAAGAAGCTAGGGTTGTCTCAATTTTGATCTTCATCATTACACTCGTATGGAATATTTATTGTAGGAACCTAGGACCAAGAATTCTTGCCATGGTAGGAACAATATCTATGTATTTATGGTTATTCATAGAAGACAAAACTAGGTATAAAAATTAAATTTATAAAAATCTGTCACCTCAACATTGACAACGTTGACAACCCTTGCATTTTTTTTCTATTCGCCCCTTCGCGTTACTATTGACACCATATCGAGGATGAATAGAAAACCATAGAATATTATTTATTTTAATAAAAATTAGACAATAAATGCTATAAATAAAGATAAAAAATCATAAAATAGGCCACGACTAATAAAATAAAAAAATCCTTTGTTAGATACACCTTAATAAGACAAAGTTATGATAAGTCAAAAGTTAAAACTGGTGGTATTCACCCCGTTTTACGGTATAGGAAAAGTGGAGGTTTAAATAAAATTGTATAATAAGTATGGTTGACCGTTGTAAATCTGACTCTCCCATGGTCTGCGGGGACGGAATGTGCTTGACCACTCAATCAGTCAGTACGGCTGTCGACTGTAATAATTACCTCTCAGTGCTGTCGACAGCGATAGACGTTCAACTTCAGAGCACGCGCGGTTGTAGCCTAGTCTCCGCTACACATGAGATCAATTTACGACTTTGCAATCATAGAATTACCGAGTCTATGTAATAAAAAGTAAAGAAGTCAAGCAAAGATATTGCTATTAAAGATGGCGAATTAAATAAATTTATAAAGTTATATTTAAATACATTTTTTTGCTTGTAACAATATTTATGGCAATATGGTAAGCACCTACATCTTGCAAAATCGAGGTTTATTTTTATGAGTAACAAAATGTTACACTGACTCATTCGGCAGACTAATAGAAACACTAACACTTTTGAAGTAACAACACGAAATATCATGGGATATCTCGCCGATTCATCAATGCCGTGTGTAACCGTGAACACCCGCCGCCCCGCGTCCCGCGGACCATTAGCAAGGTCGACTTTACGGTGGTCAAACTATACTAAGACTTACCCATAACTTATGTTATGCTCTTCCGTAGAGCTGATATCTGCGAACAAAATAAATCTTTATCTTGATACCTTTTATAGAAAACTTTTTTTTTCTGTCCAATAGAATTTTAAACCATTCAATCGATGTACCACAAATATTTGCTTTCATTTGAAAAGACTACTAAACAGGTGTAGGAAGGCCAAAGGGGAGGAACCTCCTCCGAGCTGGATGATGGTAGCTCAGGGGCCGCGGCGCAACTGATGTTGGCCGGGCATTGTAAATATTAAGAGTTTGGCTCCGAATTTCTCTTGTAGGCTTCCATACTTATTGATCACAGCGCCGGTAGCGTCATCTCTTGAAGAAGTCAGTGATTACTTCCTCCATCCTTTTGGTTATATGTGGGGCATGTAGATGTCACCGTCACACAGGCATTCCAGTTCTAACATGAAGTCGATTTTCGAATTTTCAAAAGAAAAAAAATCAACGTTCAAATTAGAAATTGGAAAAATTATTTGAAAAATGCATTTTTTTTAAATCTTGGTAGCATACTTCGAGTATAAACTAGTTAAGCACGCATTAAAAAACATGAATGTCATGTCATGATATATCCAATCCGAAGTGTTTAATATCAAATTCGGATTCAAGATATTTTTTTAATTTTTCAGGTAACCCTGAAAACTCCTACCCCGTAGGTCCCCTGGGTGGACCGCAATCCCAAATCAGATTCGGATTTAACGACCACAAATTACTATGTGACCAAGTTTCTTTGGGCTTGGATCAGAAGATAAAACAAAAAAATATTGCAGACAACTGAGAGACCATTCCGTGTAGAAATACAGATATACACGAACCACGTTATAGATTCCAAGGGTGTATGCTAGTCTCGAAAATAGGAATCTAGTATCGAATGCTGCTTCGCGGAGAAATTCGAAAAGGTTTGCCCCATCTTTTTGTGATGGATTTAGTTAAACTCGTATTATACTTCTGTGCAGCATACGCCCCCCATGGAAGACTTGCTCTCCTGGTCATATTTCTTTTAATATACTAGATAGGGTCAGGAGGGCCATGGCCCGGAGCGACAGGCTGCGAGGGGCGGCAGAAGCTGTCTAAAGGCATTCGTTGCTAATCTATACTTTGATTTGATTTACTAATTCTATATGCCACTGATCCTAGAGTAAACAGGCCACTGGTAAAGCTTTGAAACTGTGCCAACTACGATGCTGTGAATATTAGATATTCCCTATAAATTTATAATATTCCTGGAATCGGAATACCACTAAGCAAATGAAGCACTTATAAATATTATATCAAGATTATTCCACAATAACTTTACCCATTCCTAATTCTCATCAAACAAAACTAAAAGTTCTCTGTAATAAATTTAAATAATGATAATATAATTGGCAAATAAATTTGTTGAATACACAGTGTTCAATGTTTGCGTTTCGATCCAATAAAGCTTCTTTATTTTGGCAGGTACAGCAAAAGGTTACCAAAAATAGACATTACAACAATTTTACCCAGATTAAATTAAATAAATCATTGTGATATGAAGACTATTAAGTTTGTGAAAGATTTTAAAAAAGATAATTGTACTCCAAAAAAACAACTCGGCTTCGGTGTCAGGCTGTATTTGAACCTGTAGGTACCCTTAATGGACTCCGCCACCTGTATTCCCTATAATAAATCTTAAGCAGCAAATCACATTTGAATTATTAGTTAGATATTTTTTAGATTTATTAAATGGGTTTGCAGTGACGCTTCTGGAATGCCTTTGTTAAGCATCAGGGTAGCTCTATATGCTTTCGAGAGGGTACATTATTACAAGCAGACGGGTCTGACAAACACAAATGCGTATTTTTAGCGCAGGACACATAAGGTGGCAAATAAATTAAATTGGTTCATTTCTAGTAGAACAGTAGCACTAAGCGCAATCATAGACAGAGAAATCAACATTCTCAACCCGAGTCTGAAAGATGACAAACAACAAGACCATATTCGACAAAGAAACCATTTTTTTTGCAATCTCACCTTTAGCCAGGATCTGCAGGGATATGATAGCCTTCGCCTCTCCGTGCACATTCTTGGCGACCACAGAGTAGGCGCCGGTGTAGTCCAGCTTTGCGTGAGGAATCTCAAACCGGTATTCAGGTCCGTCGCCGACTCGCTTGAAGTGACTCGCGTCACGGTAGTAATCAGGCTGGTGACAAAAATAATTCATATGTTTTTTTCTGTTACAAAAGTTGGAATAACAGACATATAGCACGGGCAGTGAAGCCTATAACGCTGCATAATGCATGTTAAACTATAGAGTATCCACTCGCACTAATAATGAATAGTAAAAAAGGATGGCAAGCATATGGCCCGCCTGAAGAAAAGCGGCCAAAGCTATCACTCGCAGCGTTTGCCTACACTGACCACATCCCTTTCCAGTGTAGCCCTGGAACCTTACTTAACGACAGAAACACAATACAAATCAACAAAATGTAGTTTTATTTTTCTATGGTCTTCTATAAGGTGGAAGTTATTTCCCAGACGGGCACTCCAACTTGAGCGGTAAATCCGCTATGCCCTAACTCTTTTAATCAGAAAAATCTCCCCATATTTCCTCACTGTTCTTTAATAGGCTAACCACGCAAAATTAATGTCTACCTTCAGGAAGTCCCTCAGCCAGTAGACGTCAGGCTTCGGGTCTCCCACCACTTCACACTGAATGATGACCATGTCACCTTCCCGGGCCTCGCTGGACCTTGGCTTCCTAACGAACATCGGCTCCTTGGAGTATCTGAGACAAATGAAAAACGTTAATAATATTTTGGCCCTTACACTATGAAGTCTATTAATGCTCTTGGTCTTGCAAATTTTATTCGTCAGCTATAATGAAATCCCTAAATGTAAGGATTAAGTTATTAGATTAAGGCGTTAGACGTTTAGACGTTGAATAAACATCTAATTCAATATCGTTTATTCAGTCTAGGCTGTTACAAGCACTTGTGAATGCCGAAAAGCTACGCCATCCATCGGTTCGCAAATCTACGGAGCCGCGGCGGGAGACCTTGTACTGAGGAGAACCGGTAAGAAACACAGCAAGGGCTGTTTTTTTCTCCCTGTATTATGCGGGAGGAAGAGCGGTCGTCCGCTCCGCGATCCTGCTTAACGCAGCGCAGGCTCTTAGGTTTATTTTTCCTCATATTTTCGATTTCGTTAATTCGAACTTTTGAAAATTATTGTCAAATATCTGTTACTAAACTACGACTAACGAGAAGCGATAGAAAATGTAAACAAAACCGATGAAAGGTTATTTTCCAATGCACCATGCACTGGAAATTGAAATGTAATTTAAAAACTTGTAACATTTTTGAAAATTTCATTTTATTAATGAATTTTAATATGAATAGGATGTTTACCATTAAATTAGGCATATATAAATCTTTATATATTTTTATATAAAGTCTTATATCTTTATATTTAAATCTAATATATAAAATACTCGTGTCACGCTGTGCGTAATTGAACTACTCCGAAACGGCTCGACCGATTTTCGTGAAATTTTATATGCATATTCAGTACAGGTCTGAGAATCGGACAACATCTGTTTTTCATTCCCCTAAATGTTTAGGGTCCACCCTTAATTTTTTTGACATTTTTTTTGTTTTTATTTTATTATGTCACGCCATACAAAAATACATACAACCCTAAATTTTCACCCTTCTACCAACAACCCTTATTTTTTTATGGCGGTACGAGGTGCGCTGGGACAGCTAATAAAATTTGTCGCTTTTTGTTGTCATTTTAGCTACTCTCAACAGCCATTGAGAAATTATTTTGTCATCCATAATTCATATTTAACTAATTTCCAAAATTTGGACTATCGGACTCAGAAGTCTTATTTTATATAATTGCCTATTGCTGGAATATTAGTAGATAGCACTCTTTGAATTCTTATTTTATGCTTCATTGTTCTTGGTTACTTACATTATATATTATTATGTAAGAGAACTTATTTTGCACTCACGGTACATCTGGGCTGATCAGAACTGGCAGGGTCATCTTCTTCTCTGAGCTGACTCCATCGCCGATGACCTCCACCTTTCCTGACGTGGTAGCTCTCCCAACCTCGTTAGAAGCGGTGCAGGAATACACGCCAGCATCACGAGGAGTAACGGAAGCCAAAGCTAGTTCTGTTTGACCGTCGCGATCCAGGGTCATGATGGCACGACGACTCGGCCTCAGTCTCACTCCGTCTCTGTACCATGTCACCCCTACGGAGGGGTACGCTTCCACTACTGCCGATATCCTCAATTCGTCACCTACGAAGAATGCTCAATGTTAATCTGAGTATTGGTACAATTTCCCCCACTCCACCTGATGTTACGTATAAGTGGAGTCCAGTCGCGATGATAGGTGCTGCAGCAGGACAAAAGAAACAAAAGGTACAAAAGTGGCGCTCCAGCCATCCATACCTCGCGGACCTAAACTCAATCCTCTAATATTAATCACCGCCAAAAACGCAGCACCCTCAAAACAACATGTTATTGTACTGTGGTATTCTTTAAGGTGCAAGTTACTTTCCAAGATGAGAGTATTAATTCGCCCATTTCACCTCTTAAATTTCTATGATGATAAAAACGATGTCCTCTAGTACACTAACCCTCATGTAACCTGTACAGTGGTTCCAGGCCGCAGCAGAACTCTGGGGCCACGTACGCCCTGATACCCTTGTCCACCACCAGGCTGCAGTGGCAGCTGATGGCGCCGCTGCTGTTCCTGGCCATGGCCTCATACACGCCTCCGTCTTCCAGGGTGGTTGGCGCGATCTCAAGAGTATGGAAGTGCTCGTCCTGCGAGCTGGTGTGGCGACCTAAGAAAGAAAGGAAAACGTTAATTGGCGTACATACTAATACTAGTACGAGAGCCCACGACACTAAACCTAGTATGATAAGACTCCCAGATGATATATAACTAGTCTGGCCATAAATAAACTTTTTTTTTTCAACTGTTTAATTATTTTAAATTTGGAACACGTATATTATTTTAAAAACTTTTTTCGAATTTGCGCCATTTCACATTTTTTTTCGTGTTCATTATCAAGTTACAATATGGAATGGAGTATTATAGAAAATACGATTGCAGTGATCGCCTTGCACAAAGTGGGTATGGAGCCGTCGGTCATGTTCCAGACACTTCAAAAGCTTGGTATCAGCCGTATGTTCGTATATCGTACTACCAACAAATACAACAACACTTCGTCTGTCGAACACCAGAAATGGTCGTGGCGGCCACGTGCTGTTAGAACTAGAAAGGCTGTTAATGCTGTTAAAGCCAGAATTCGTCGAAACCCCATTAGGAAGCAAAACATCTTATCACGAGAAATGAAGATTCCCGCTAGGACTCTGTCGTGTAAACAAGACCTGAAGCTCGGTGCTTATCGTCGATATACAGGACATGCCCTAAATATATCTTTACAATTAAAGACAGTGGATCGATCAAAAGGCCTTCTCTCGCGATACGCAGGTGAAAAGCATAGATATACCCTCTTTACCCATGGTAAAAATTTTGAATTGAAGAACACTACAATCAACAAAATGATAAAGTGTATGGACGCAGTTCTAAAAAGCTGTTCAAGTGGTCGGAAAGGTACAACGTGGTCATCATACTGCGTCAGTGATGGTTTGGTGGGACGTGTCTTATCAAGGTGTCACAAAACTACATTTTTGTTAAAAAATGAGTGAAAACTACAGCCGAAGTGTATCAAGATACAGCCTTGGATCATGTCGTGAAACCTCTCCGAAAAACACTTTTTAGAAATATACCGTAGAATTTCCAGCAAGATTCTGCATCTGGTCACAAGGCACAAACTACCCAAGCCTGGCTTGAAATCAACGTTCCGGACTTATAAGAGCTGAGGACTGGCCCTCATCTAGCCCAGACCACCACCCTTTAGGCTTCAAATTAAGGCCAGTTTTAAAGGACATGGCCTACTCTAAATAACACGGCGACATTGAGTCTTAAAAAATCTTTGGAGCATGCAGTGGAGAAATTTCTTTAATAAATATGTAGGTATAAATTTTAATAATATGTTTTACATCACTAAACAAACAATTTCTTTGTAACAGAACTTATATATATATAAGTAGTAATATAATAATAAATATTCTTTATTGCACATAACAAAGGACAAAAGACATAAACAAATAAAACAGAGGGTGAAATTGAACGTTTTAATGAAACTTCGTGGGAATGTTGGGTTACGTATATAGAGTATCTCTGAATTTTTTTGGAATTTTTATAAATGATTTAAAATAACATTTTGGTTTTTTTTGTTATATTTTAAGTCCTTTCCTCATTTTGGGTACTAAATAATTATTCTTTTTAAACACGCATACAGAGTAAGTAAAAAACAACCAATAAGCACTACTAAAAAACACGTAAAAACAGGAGACGGGCGGCCGGGAGCAATGATCGCTCCCGCCTTTGAATACCTTCCTACCTATGCGAGATGCACAGCGCAGTGAGCGAGCGGAGTCTCAAGTCTATCCACCGCACGTGCGTATCTTTTAAATTTGTGACAAGACAACATTTCCAAATAATGCCTTGATTAGTTCTTGTTCTGTGGCCTCAATATAAGAATTTGGATATGGTGGGTTGTTATTGCGAGTATCACGGAATACTCAGCAGAGCCACAAGGCTTTACGAAAGTAGGTTTGGTGATTGATTCTGTTTACAAAGTGTATACGGGAAGTTATAGTGAAAAAATGAATAGGTACATCGGTCTCGTAAGTACTTTTGAATACTTGGTTATAAATTTCATTCTAACCCAAGTATTGAATTGCAATTAGTACAAGTATTTCTTTTTGTTTAACATTTGCCTATTTCCAATCGTAACAAAACTATTATTAACTTTTTAAGTTTTTCTCTGCTTAAGAGAAGATGACATTTGTGCTTATTATTTCAATAAAGGCATCTAAGACGATTTTATTGTATTGTTTGGAATCAAAAGAGTCAGCTGAGCCCTGTGTACCTACTCACTCAACGGCTGGCGGGCGCGGTCGGTCGTTGACCCACGGTGGCAGCGCCCGCTTAATTTTACTGTTTTTCCGTTTTATAGAAATGTTTATTTAATAGTTGTTTTTCACTGGATATGTAAGTATGCTTGTTTAAAATGAATATCTACTCAAAAGGTTGAAAGAGCATAAAAATACACAAATTATAAATAAATATTAGAAAACAAATATTTTCGTTGGATTGGCGCTGAACACTAAGGTGTTCCAAATTCAAAAAGTGGATTCTTATAAAGAAGTGGAGCTTATTATGAGGATTTAAAACTCATTACTGCCCACTATAAGTTTCTTATAGAAACTCGTCCTTTTCAAATAGATGGGATGATAAATATTTTTCCTATTACTTGGGTAACAATAGAACAGCTGGCCACAATACTTTCCATATAATAGCAATCTTGCAAATTGACATATACACACTACCATTAATAAGTTGCCGCATTTACGAAGCTGTTGATTTCAGACAGCGCGGTATCTAGTCGACCGAAAGGTGACCAATCATTTATCTAAGATATTAAATAATATTATTATTACTAAAGCACAAACTACATCTTCCGATGTTAATTATCGGAGGAAATCCCAAACTGGAAGGATCCTAATTGTATTATTAAATAATTGGACGTCTGGCATGCAAGTCTCATTGGCAAGCTTCCTTCATATGGAATCGCTGTCGGACTTTGCAACTGGATTGCAGATTTTCTGAGGGGCAGATCGATACGAGTGGTCATTAATGGCACATCGTCGGATCTGCTTGGTATTAATGCCGGTGTCCCCCAGGGATCTGTCCTCTCCGCAACTCTATTCTTGCTGCACATCAATGATCTGCTCCTAACTCCTGGTATCTTTGGGTATGCAGATGACAGCACAGTTTCGGGGAGATATCTGCCTGATGTGAAGTCTGATGCAGATGTCCGATCATTAAGGGAGGCGATGGTGGAGGGAGTGAATGCAACCCTGGAAGCTGTTTCCCTCTGGGGTGAAGCCAACTTGGTTGGATTCAATCCCTCTAAAACACAGGCCTGTCTCTTCTCGACGAAACGGAGTCCATTCCATCTGACTCCGACTTTCCGAAATGTCTCCGTGCCGGTTAAAGACCATCTCGAGCTCTTGGGTATGGACATCTCATCCAGCCTCAATTTCGGTCCCTACATCGAGTCCATTGCTAAAACCGCTGCCAGAAAACTTGGAATACTTTCTAAGGTCAGGCGATATTTTACATCTGAGCAGCTTCTTAACCTTTACCGAGCCCAAGTTCGCTCCTGCTTGGAGTACTGTTGTCACCTTTGGGACGGATCTGCTCGGTATCAGCTGGATGCACTGGACTCGGTGGAACACCGTGCGAAGAGACTCATAGGCAATGACGCTCTCGTTGAGGCTAATCTTCAGAGCCTCGACCACCGAAGACGTGTAGCTTGCCTTTCGGTGTTTTATCGGTTACATTTCGGAGAGTGTGCGGAGGTATTACATAATTTGATCCCCCCTTCCCCTTTCCACCACCGGACGACCAGGCGCGGCGAGGGCTTCCACCCTTATGTTGTCGAAGTTCCTCCTATTCGCACGAAGCGATTTGCTTTGGCCTTCATTATACGAACGGCTAGGGAGTGGAACTCCTTGCCGAGGTCTGTTTTCCCGGACCAATATAACCTGGACATCTTCAAGGCCAGAGTGAACAGGCATCTTCTAGGCAGGCGTGTACCATCCTAGGCCTCATCATCGCTTTCCATCAGGTGAGATTGTGGTCAAACGCATTGCCTATTTAGCATAAAAAAAAAAAAATATCTATCCCTTCCGCGTTTTGTTCAGCGCTAGAGTTACGTGCTGCGGCATGTGTCTTAAAATGTTATCAGACTATGAATGCCGAACCGAGGTAAGGTAACAGACCGATAATATATGCACTATTTTTGGAATGCTATAATGACTTATGGGCCACTGCGGAAGCTGATTACTCAAACAGAGACTTGAGAAATAAGTCTTATGAAAAAGTTTGTAAAAATGAAACACCAGCAGAAATTATAAAAAAAAAACTATCTGTCTGTCCGATAAAAGGAAGCACATATTAGTGAGTGTGTAGAGAATGCCTCCGACTTATTTTTGATAAATCGCATTGGATCAGAAGGTTTAAAGTCACTTTAACTTACCGTCCATAGCGATCTGTTGGCCGTCCTTGAACCAAGTGACGTTGGGAGGAGGACTTCCCACCACCTGGCATGTCAGTCGTACCGGATACGTCGCCTGCACCCGTCGGTCGCGCAACCTCATCGTAAATTGGGGGGGATACTCTCCCAAAACATCCGCTGATCGTTCCCTACGTGAAAAAACCATAGATATATTATTCAAAAAAAACGAGCGAGTCTTACAGTAGTCGCGTATGATGCGTAACATTTGAAACCTCACCTCATATTAGTAAAAACATAAATAAAACCTACTACAAAAGGAATAAGCCATTTGAACATTATGTTCTAAAATCAAATCAAATAGCGCGCGTTTTCGCGACTTCCTGTTACACACTTCCGTCCCATTTCACGAAATCACTCCCACAAATTGCAGGAAAGCGAGAGGAAAGATGTTGCACATCAAAAACTACATAAACTCAAAGCCAACATAATAAAAATCAGTCGGCTTTAAGTACGTGATAAAAAAACCCGGCGAGTCCGACTCGCGCACTTAGGGTTCCGTACCATTATCTATGCAATATTAGACAATGGTAGCAGGCGATTTTTTAAAAATCTATGTATGTAGTTCTAGTTATTATTAAAAATAAAATAATGTCTTCTACCAGTAAAATTTCCTATCTTCAATATTTAATATACTTTCCCTCCGTGTGACAAACGCCCTGTATATATTTAAGGGCCCCCCTTAAATATTTATTTTATTTTAATTATTTATTTTTAAAGTGAATACGAAATTTAATATTCTGCGAATATTTCAAATGTCTAACTGTTTCCGTTATTAATATACAGCAAAACAATCTGGATTGTTGCATGAGAGCCCCCCTTAAATACTAATTTTATTCTGTTTTTAGTATTTGTTGTTATATCGGCAACAGAAAGACATCTGTAGAAAAATCATCTGTCTTGCTACCACGGTTCATAAGATACAGCCTGGTGACAGACAGACAGCGGAGACTTAGTAATAGGGTCCCGTTTTAACCCTTTGGGTACAGAATCTTAAAAAACTGATCCTACTACATAAAGAAAGAGTCAAAATATAAATATATAGCATATCACAAGTTTACACAAAATATGTTCAATATTTTATGGAATAATTAAATAATGTGTTGATGTTATTAATTTATTAACAGTGCAACATGAACACGGATATTATTTGAGGTTTCTGAATTATCATTATTGACAAATATCTCGCTACAATATTCATGTGTTGCGTCCGTATTGCTCATGCGGCACGCATCTCCGCTGTAAAAGTGACCTACTACCTACACTTAGAGCATATAACAACTAAAACAAATACAAACATATATCGGCCAAAGTCCGTCCTTTAAATGCTTAAATCTTCGACCTTGTTTCTAAGGGTAATAAGGACTTATATTTTAACATTCGAACGACGGACTTCAGGCTGATTATCAGTGATTATCAGTTATATATCTATAACAATTCAACACTCATACTTAACATCAGATGTGGGACAAAGTCATTAAAACCAACTCAGAAATCAGAATATAAAAACAATCTATATAAAGAAGCAGATGTACCTTTTGAGCTTTGCATCCGCTTCCCAAATCAATCTATCAGTGACGACAGCTAGTCTGGCATAAGTAGACGCCCGGCCGTGCGCATTGCTCGCTTCACAACTATACCGCGCCTCATCCTCTACAGCGATGTCTTCAATAGTCAGGTTGCAATCATAGCCGTTGAAGGAACTCTTCACCCTCCTGTCATCCTCGACCTCATGACCGTTCTTCATCCAAATCACTTCTGGAGCCGGCTTCCCTTTAACGCTGCAACTCAAGCTCGCAGTCTGCCCGATCAACACTTTCAATTGCCCGGGCAAAGTGTCTACAAACTCCGGCCTGTCGCCAGCCAATCCGACCCCGATAGATGTAGAAGTTTGGACTGATTCACCCCAACCGTATCTGTTTCGAGGTGTTACCCTAAAGTGGTATTCTTCCCCTTGCTTGAGATTGAAGACGTCGAAAGAGTTGAGTGGTGTGATGCCTAATTCGGTCCAGCGAGCGCCTCCTTCCTTGCCCACCAGCCAGCTCTCGACCTTGTATGCGAGGACTGGTGCCGCCGAGCTGGAGTCAGGCTTCGGCCACGAGAGAGAGGCCCAGTTATTTCCACCGTCGACGACGCTCGGTTCGCCCGGGATGCGATCGGGCACAGCTATAAACAAGTTTCATTATCAGCGCGACAATGACCTTATAAGATGTTTGATTTGTTGCCAGCTGACACATCGTGCCAATCGCCTAAGTCATTTATATAAGGTACATCGATATACAAAATCTATTTTGAAAGACTCGTACAACGCAAAAATTAGAACATGGCATACTTACATTTGTATTTCCTTTCGGCGATGCTTAAAGAGGATTCATCAGTTGGATATGTCCAGTCCGTAATCAAGTTGTCGGAAGAAGCTCTTTGTCTGATCTACAATTAAAAACACATTTTATTTGATAAACTTTAACTATAGTTCAGAAATAATGTACATACTTCTTTATTATTAACAGCTTTTCTTACCACAACAGTCACAAAAGCTCTATCACAACCATATGCGTTTCTCGCAAGAATGCAGTATGTCCCAGCATCAGATATAACTGATCTTTTAACTGTGAACTTCATGTAATCATCCGAAGTCATCTTGCAGACTCGCTGGCTGTTTGTAATATCTCGAATACCTTTCATAAATATCACTGCGAAAGGATATAATTACATTAGCGTATGGTTCATAAGCAATAAGAGTATATTTCACTACGAACAGCTTACCCTTTGGCTTTGGGTCACCTTGAACCCGGAACGATATATTAAGGTCTTCGCCTATAGATATCAGAACATCCTTTTCTGGTCTTCCGACTATAATAGCGGGCTTGCCGTCCAACTCATTTGGTTGGACTACAGTTATAGCTGCGTTCATGTCAACAATGCCATGACTGCTGAAGGCTCTGCAAGTGTACATGCCAGACTCTTTTTCTGTGACATCCGACAATGCGAGCGTGTATAATCCTTGCTCGACCATGGTCCTTGCGTTAGAATAGATAGCAGTCACAGAACGACCTTCGCGCAGCCACTCGACTCTAGTTGGTGATCCTTGAATTTCAACTTGCAGACCAATCGTGCCGCCTCTCGAGACATTGTAATCAGTCAGGACATTGCCGAAATGGGGTTTCCGAGATTCTAACGATTGCCGTGATTGTCGAGATTTTTCGACGGTAGTTAAGTTAGGACTCAGGCGGCTTTCTCTACCTGAAAATATAAATAATATAATTTTACTGTTGCATAAAATTTTATACCTATGTAGTTTTTGCATGCTCCGGGTAGCAAACCATTAAAATTATTAATTTCAACAAGATTGAAGCTCTTTAAAACATGTTTAGAAATAGGTGCTGCGATTTCTTCGGTTTTTGTGTTTTAATTTTACAATCATAAATAACACATGTCCCTCATATTTCAGGACTCGTAACTTATTTAATCAGTAGCTGCACACATACACGCTTTATAAAACACAATTGCCGTCATCGGAGGCTCACCTGTAAAGTTGACGACGTGCGTTATTTGATCTGACCATACCGAGTTTTCAGCTTTACAAGCGTATTTGCCGCTATCCTCTTGAGTGGGATGCGAGATGGCGAGTCTACATACGCCATCGGCGAGGTAGTAAGCTTGGAATCTTTCATCAGTACTAACTGGTTTGTCATCTTTCAGCCACGTTATTGTGGGTAGAGGTTGACCACGGATACGACACTCCAGGACTAATTCATTTTCGGCAAGGTGATACGTATCTGTTGAGTGCCAATATTCAAATATTAGTAATTATTATTAGTAAGTTTTCAAAGCTTTCACCAGGCTCGTGATTGAGAAAGGATAACAAAGGGGAAAGGGACATAAGACATTACCCACCACGCAAAATCAGTGCGTTAACGACTGCAGACGGTTAATCCATTGGCCCCAAGCACTTATGGTTGAGCTCGAGATAAAATATTATTAAACGCCCATCTTATGACCGTTGGATATTTTTTTTATTTTCCACATTATCTGTTTTTTGGTAATGCAGTTTTCATGATACTGCAGTACAGTTGCGAGTCCGAAATGTCATTTTCAAATTTTGTATGGAAACTTGAACATTAGCGCCATGTTGTACGTAACGAGAACTAAAAATCAGTATACATTTGACAATAACATTTCGGATTCGCAAACGTTACGAATTCTATATTGGTTCGTGCTACGAGTACTCATCAACAATAGAAGTACTCGTTTTGAGTCATTATTTTTTAAGTTTTGAGGTGCCTTCTCAGAGTTATCTACGTCAAAAGTATCTCTTAATTAAAAATATTTTTAAACATTTAATAAATATTTTTTGAATTGATAATTTCCAATGATTTTTTTTAATTAAGTGAATACTAAAATGTAAACACGTAAGTTGTTTCATTTAAATGACATTATACTTTTGGCTTCTGTACCCACGATAAGTTAGGACTCAGGCCGCTTTCTCTACCTGAAAATATATATATAATATACCCAAGATGAAAACAGAGTTTTTGTTAAAATTCATACGAATATAGTTCTAAGTTATTTTATTGTAAAGGTGAGGCTAAGCCAAAAGCCCGTGTGGCTTGTGGCTCAGCATCACGTTTACTGATGGCCGTCTTGTGTGGTCTGGTGAACGCAATGCAGCTGCAAGGTGGCAATAACGCATGCGTGCAGCCCAGACCGAGTCGCAGCCACAAAATATAAAGACTGAGAATGCTGAATTTTCAGGAGGGAGGAAAACAGACACAATCTCTCAACTACATTCTAGCGACAACCTAGGTCGTGCGTGGAGCGTAATAAAAACGAAACTCTAAGCCAATGTATTAAATTGCTCTAAGCACATTTTTGCTACGAGACCTCAGTGTCAATTCATTTTGTGAAATTCAGTCTGCATCGCCGTCGTCGGTCAGTAACGATTTGAGAAGTATCTGTTTAGGTATCAATAATAGATATTTTAAAACCGAAGATTCTTCGAGACTAAAGAATATGTATTTTTTTACTTCATTGATAAATTTTGATTTTTATTTCATAAGTAAGTTAATTATGAAGTTTTATGCCTGAAGAAGTAGATAACTTATTTTAATTGCATAGTAATTACGGAGTTGCGCATTGTTGCCCTCCTGGCAGGTCTTGTTTTATAATACGCGACAGAGTTCTAGCGGGAATGTTCATTTCTCGCGATAAGATTTTTTGTTTCCTAATGGGGTTTCGACGTATTCTGGCTTTAACAGCATCAACAGCCTTTGTAGTTCTAACAGCACGCGGCCGCCCAGACTTTTCTGGATATATACTAAGAGACAATCCGCAACTCCGTAATTACTATGCAATTAAAATAAATTATCTACTTCTTCAGGCATAAAACTTAATATTCATTCACCGAGCTTCAGCCCCTCTAGCATGACTACCGAAACGGTATATGATAAAGCGATATATCGGCATTAACTGTCAGACTACAGTGGACTTTGACAGTTGAGACTCGATAAAAAGCTTTATCATATCCCGTTTCGGTGGTCATGCTAGGAGGGGAGGTCTTGTTTTATAATACGCGACAGAGTTCTAGCGGGAATGTTCATTTCTCGCGATAAGATTTTTTGTTTCCTAATGGGGTTTCGACGTATTCTGGCTTTAACAGCATCAACAGCCTTTGTAGTTCTAACAGCACGCGGCCGCCCAGACTTTTCTGGATATATACTAAGAGACAATCCGCAACTCCGTAATTACTATGCAATTAAAATAAATTATCTACTTCTTCAGGCATAAAACTTAATATTCATTCACCGAGCTTCAGCCCCTCTAGCATGACCACCGAAACGGGATATGATAAAGCTTTTTATCGAGTCTCAACTGTCAAAGTCCACTGTAGTCTGACAGTTAATGCCGATATATCGATTTATCATATCCCGTTTCGATAGTCATGCTAGAGGGGCTGAAGCTCGGTGAATGAATATTAAGTTTTATGCCTGAAGAAGTAGATAATTTATTTTAATTGCATAGTAATTACGGAGTTGCGGATTGTCTCTTAGTATATATCCAGAAAAGTCTGGGCGGCCGCGTGCTGTTAGAACTACAAAGGCTGTTGATGCTGTTAAAGCCAGAATACGTCGAAACCCCATTAGGAAACAAAAAATCTTATCGCGAGAAATGAACATTCCCGCTAGAACTCTGTCGCGTATTATAAAACAAGACCTGCCCTCCTAGCATGACCACCGAAACGGGATATGATAAAGCTTTTTATCGAGTCTCAACTGTCAAAGTCCACTGTAGTCTGACAGTTAATGCCGATATATCGCTTTATCATATACCGTTTCGGTAGTCATGCTAGAGGGTCTGAAGCTCGGTGCTTATCGTCGATATACAGGACATGCCCTAAATCTGGGGCCACCAAGTCGAGCAAAAACAGCGGCACGGCCGTACCATTCATTTCTCGAAACAGTTCAGGTCATTTTCAACTCCCTTTAACTTCTTTGGTGATAAAACTAGAAACCTGAATTTTCAATTACCAAGTAGGCATTTTATGAACTAGGTATATATTTCAAATTTCATTGAATTTGAGCCTGTAGTTTAAGAATTATAACTAGTCAAAGTTTTTTTATTTTGTCACTCACTGACTGTCTGACCAATCATCAAAACTCTAAGGCACTTCTAGCAGACATAGAAGCTTCAAAATTAGAATACAGTTAGTTTTTAGTGTATAAATCAAGGAAAAACGAAACTATTTTGCAATTTCGGTCCAGTTTTCTAGATTTACTAACTGCATAAATAACTTTGTAATCTCATATAAATATAGGATTACAAAGTCATATTTGCAGTTAACGAATCAGTGTATATGTTAAAATATTTTACTATATTATGATAGATAGGTGTAGATAAGTATCTAGATATAATAATGTTAAATTGGAATCCCATATATTATTTATATTTTAGAATAGAACGCGAATCGAATGGTTTTAGAGTACAGCGTAGTCTAACCGCACTGATAACCCTCAGTTACTATTTTATCAATTACTTTTTTCGAATCCGTTTTACGTATAACACTGTTTTGACCCTTATCCATTTTAGTACATTCGATGTGTTGTGCATTCATGGAAAACCAATATTATCCTTCTTAGACGATATAAGAGATTTAAAATTTCTTATCACTCGTAACAAAAGGGGCGGTCGCCCGACCAGCACGTAGCGTTTCTTGACGATAGTTTAGCGTGTCTGGTCTACCTTCATGGAGGTTAAACAACTATCACAATGACCAGTCATAGGATGGGCAATCAAAGTATCAAATTTCAATTTATTTTTAGAAAAAATATGCTGAGCTAAGTATTAATTACCTATTGCTAATATTTTTTTTTCTTTAGAATTAGAAATAAAGAAGCAAAATGGTAAATGAAAAAATAATATAAAAAAAACGACGGGTTGCACTCCGGGAGTGCCGGCAGAAGTGAAAACTTGAATATTAACGTTGTGCATTTTTGATATTTTGGAATGGTTAGGGAATAATTTTGCACGAATTGCTTTAATTATCAGTATAAAAGTATTATCATTTATATGGTAGAATACAATATTTATTTATTGCGCTATCGTACACAAACATGACAATTTGTATTACATAAAAAAAATATTGTAAAAAAAATGCATTTTCTTCGCAAAGTTAAGCTGCCACCTGGACGTCCTAATTAGAGACTTAATATTATAACATGATAAAATAAAATATTACTATGTTTCGTCCATTATATTGAAAGTCAACAATTTTTCTAATTTTATTGTTTTCGTCTTACGAATTTTCGATTAGGTCACGAGTCCTGGCGCGATCAGGCCACGTGTCCTGACGCGAGTTTAACAGTTTTTACCCATTACAAAAAAAGTGTACAACGCCGCTAAAGAAGTTTTAACTTCAAACATTACAAAATTTATAAATATTTAATAATATAAAAAAGTATTATCTCGAGCGCCTCCGTGCTTCGGAAGGTACGACCAACCGTTGGTTCTGTTTACTAACTTTTCTTAAATTTTCTTGGTATGTATCAAGCATTTCATTATATTCTCATCTTGGCGTTACAGACGTGTTTCGGGCAGTGATTCCCCAGAGTTTAGCAACATAAAAATGTTATAATATATCTAAATTTATTTTAGAAATAGTTTAAATTAGAGGGTTTAATCGGATAGCAATATATGTATACATAAAAATGAGGATGATATCGTACTTACCTCGTATGGAACGTGTGAACGTGGGAGGTATAGGAGATGCTTCGAAACTAGGATAAACTTTAAGGTTAGCTGACGTATTCACGGAACCATTCTCGTTCTCTACTGTACAGCTGTATTCGGCAGAATCACTGGGAACAGCATTAAAGACTTCCAACGTGATCAAGCCGTCGACCATTTTAGTTCTGTACTTCAGTTTATTGTCTAACAGCACACCATTTCGGTACCAAGTCACTGTTGGGTCACTCGACGACAACACGCTACATGTTAACTTCACCCTGGATCCTTCCACAGCAGTTCTGTCCGTGAGATAGGTTGAAAACACAGGCTTTCTCTTTATATCGCGCGAAACACTACTTCTTTTCTCAGAAGTAATACTTCTAGCTTCACTCAAGGCTTTTGATCGCAATCTAGCTTCTGATCTACGTTCTGTGGGTTCATTGATTTTGCTAACTTGAGGGGGCAATGACGATCGTAGTTGTGCATCCAACTTAAGGGAACTAGCTTTTATATAAGCAGGACTTCTGTCATTTCTTTCTCTGTCAGGTGCAAAATTATCCATATCAAAAGATCGTTCTCTGTATCCCGAAGGTCGAACAAACTCCATTGTGTAATCTCGATGACTGTGGTCGATAAATTTCGGTTTTTCCTTATCATCAGGATTATTCCGCCCCGTGGGTTCGTAATGGTATTCTTTGATATGGTGCTGTGTAGATACACCAGATACTTCTTCTTGCTGCCCAAAATTTCGTAATGAATTCTTTCTTTCAGATTCTGTAGTACATTCTTTAACTCTTCGTTTGATTATTGAGTTTTCGCTGTCATCTTCTAAGCGTTTTTCTATTGATTTTGTATCTGTTTTGAATTTCCAGAATTCTTCTTCTTCCCTTTCATTGGTTTGCTGTTGTGATGCTTTTATTTTTTGTTCCCCTGAAAGTGCCTCTTGCTCGGATTTTTGCGTAGTCACGTTTTCTTCCTTTTCTTTGCTTACAGCCCTTTTTTTATCTTTCTTCACTTTCTCCAACGTTCCTTCACCCGAGTCTTCTTTTTGCAAAAATGTTTCTGTTATTTCTTGTTCTTCCTTGGCTTTCTTGTTTTCTTCACTCCACCTCTTTTCTTCATTATCAATATTTTCTTTCCCAACCTGTTCTTGTTTTTGACGTAGTTCATCCGCTTTTTTATGTTTGTGTGTGAGAGCTTCTTGTTCTTCCTTTTCTGTTTTTTCGTTCTTTTCCTTCTCCTTTAATTCTTTTTCTTGCTGCAACATCTTTTCTTTTTCAGCTTGTTCTTGTTTCTTACGAAGTTCATCCGCTTCTTTCTGTTTCAGAATGAGAGCTTCTTGCTCTTCCTTTTCTCTATTTTCTTTTTCTTCTTTCTTTTTATTTTTTTTCTCTTGCTTTAGCTTCTTTTCATTTTCAATCTTTTCTTTCTCAGCTTGTTCTTGTTTCTGATTCAGGTCATCCGCTTCTTTTTGTTTCTGTATGAGAGCTTCTTTATCTTCCTTTTCTCTTTTTTCTTTCTCTTCCTCCTCCTTTTCTTGCAGTAATCTCTTTTCATGTTCCATTTTTACTTTTTCATTTTGTTCTTGTTTCTGACGCAAATCATCAGCTTCTTTCTGTTTCTGTATTAGAGCTTCTTGCTCTTCCTTTTCTGTATTTTCTTTCTCTTCCTTCTTTTTCAATTTCTTCTCTTGCTTCAGTTTCTTCTCATTTTCAATCTTTTCTTTCTCAGCTTGTTCTTGTTTCTGACGCAGGTCATCCGATTCTTTCTGTTTCTGTATGAGAGCTTCTTGATCAGCCTTTTCTTTTTTTTCTTTCGCCTCCTCCTCCTTTTCTTGCTGTAATCTGTCCTTAAGTTCAATCTTTTCTTTTTCATCTTGTTCTTGATTCTGACGCAGTTCATCAGTTTCTTTCTGTTTCTGTATTAGAGCTTCTTTCTCTGTCTTTACTCTATTTTCTTTCTCTTCCTTCTTTTTCAATTTCTTTTCTTGCTTCAGTTTCTTTTCATTTTCAATTTTTTCTTTCTCAGCTTGTTCTTGTTTCTGACGCAGGTCATCCGATTCTTTCTGTTTTAGGTTGAGAAATTTTTGCTCTTCCTTTTCTTTCTCTTCCTTTACTTTCAATTCATTTTCTTGCTGTAATCTCTTTTCATGTTCAATTTTTACTTTTTCATCTTGTTCCTGTTTCTGACGCAAATCATCAGCTTCTTTCTGTTTCTGTATTAGAGCTTCTTGCTCTTCCTTTTCTGTATTTTCTTTCTCTTCCTTCTTTTTCAATTTCTTCTCTTGCTTCAGTTTCTTCTCATTTTCAATCTTTTCTTTCTCAGCTTGTTCTTGTTTCTGACGCAGGTCATCTGATTCTTTCTGTTTCTGTATGAGAGCTTCTTGATCATCCTTTTCTTTTTTTTCTTTCTCTTCCTCCTCCTTTTCTTGTTGTAATCTCTTTTCATATTCACTTTTTTCTTTTTCACCCTGTTCTTGTTTCTGACGCAGTTTATCAGCTTCTTTCTGTTTCTGTATTAGAGCTTCTTGTTCCCCCTTTTCTGTTTTTTCGTTCTTTTCCTTCTCCTTTAATTCCTTTTCTTGCTGCAACATCTTTTCTTTTTCAGCTTGTTCTTGTTTCTTACGCAGTTCATCCGCTTCTTTCTGTTTCTGTATGAGAACTTCTTGCTCTTCCTTTTCTGTATTTTCTTTCTCTTCTTTCTTTTTAATTTTTTTCTCTTGCTTCAGCTTCTTTTCATTTCCAATCTTTTCTTTCTCAGCTTGTTCTTGTTTCTGACGCAGGTCATCCGATTCTTTCTGTTTCTGTATGAGAGCTTCTTGATCATCCTTTTCTTTTTTTTCTTTCTCTTCCTCCTCCTTTTCTTGTTGTAATCTCTTTTCATGTTCAAGTTTTTCCTTTTCATCTTGGTCTTGTTTCTGACGAAGTTCATCAGCTTCTTTCTGTTTCTGTATTAGAGCTTCTTGCTCTTCCTTTTCTGTATTTTCTTTCTCTTCCTTCTTTTTCAATTTCTTCTCTTGCTTCAGTTTCTTCTCATTTTCAATCTTTTCTTTCTCAGCTTGTTCTTGTTGCTGACGTAGGTCATCAGATTCTTTCTGTTTCTGTATGAGAGCTTCTTCGTCTTCTTTTTCTCTTTTTTCTTTCTCGTCCTCCTCCATTTCTTTCTGTAATCTCTTTTCATGTTCAATTTTCTCTTTTTCGTCTTGTTCTTGTTTCTGACGCAGTTTATCAGCTTCTTTCTGTTTCTGTATGAGAGCTTCTTGCTCTTTCTTTTCTGTTTTTTCGTTCTTTTCCTTCTCTTTTAATTCCTTTTCTTGCTGCAATATCTTTTCTTTTTCAGCTTGTTCTTGTTTCTTACGCAGTTCATCCGCTTCTTTCTGTTTATGTATGAGAGCTTCTTGCTCTTGCTTTTCTCTATTTTCTTTCTCTTCTTTCTTTTTAATTTTTTTCTCTTGCTTCAGCTTCTTTTCATTTTCAATCTTATCTTTCTCAGCTTGTTCTTGTTGCTGACGTAGGTCATCAGATTCTTTCTGTTTCTGTATGAGAGCTTCTTGATCTTCTTTTTCTCTTTTTTCTTTCTCGTCCTCCTCCTTTTCTTGCTGTAATCTCTTTTCATGTTCAATTTTCTCTTTTTCGTTTTGTTCTTGTTTCTGACGCAGTTCATCAGCTTCTTTCTGTTTTTGTTTGAGTGTTTCCTGCTCTTCTTTTTCTCTCTTATCTTTGTCTTCCTTTTCTTTCAATTCATTTTCTTGCTGCAAACTCTTTTCATTTTTAATCCTTACTTTTCCCGCTTGTTCTTGTTTCTGACGCACGTCATTCACTTCTTTTTGATTCTGTATGAGAGCTTCTTGTTCTTCCTTTTCTCTCTTTTCTTTCTCTTCTTTCGTTTTCGATTCCTCGTCTTGCTGCAACTTCTTTTCATTTCCTATCTTTTCTTCCTCAGCTTGTTCTTGTTTCTGGCACACGTCATCCGCTTCTTTCTGTTTCTGTATGAGAGTTTTTTGTTCGTCCTGTTCTCTCTTTACTTTCTCTTCTTCCTTCATCAACTCCTTTTGCTGCAACATCTTTTCGTTTTCTATATTTTCTTTCTCAGTTTGTTCATGTTTCTGTCGGAGTTCATCCGTTTCTTTCTGTTTTCGCATTAGAGTTTCTTGTTCTTCTTTTTCTGCTGTTTCATTCTCATCTAATATATTATTTTGCTGCAACCTCTTTTCATTTTCGATCTTTTCTTTATTAGCTTGTTCTTGTTTCTGACGCAGTTCATTCGCTTCTTTCTGTTTATGTATGAGGGCTTCCTGCTCTTCCTTATCTCGTTTTTCTTTCTCTTCTTTCTTTCTTATATTCTTTTCTTTCTTCGTCTTATTTTCATTTACGATCTTTTCTTTTTCAGCTTGTTCTTGTTTTTGCAACAGATCATCAGCATCTTTCTGTTTCTGTATGATAACTCCATGTTCTATTTTTTCCCGTGTTTCATATTCTACCTTCTCTTTTAATTCCTTTTCTTGTTCAAACCTTTTTTCATTATCGATCTTTTCTTTCTCAGCTAGTTCTTGTATTTGACGCAATTCATCAGTTTCTTTCTGTTTTTGCATAAGTGCTTCTTGTACTTCCTTTTCTTCTGTTCCTTTCTCTTCCTTCCCTTTCAATTCATTTTCTTGCTGCAACCTCTTTTCATTTTCGATCTTTTCATTCTTAGCTTGTTCTTGTTTCTGACGCAGTTCATCCGCTTCTTTCCGTTTCTGTTTGACAGCTTCTTGCTCTTCCTTTTCTATTTTATCTTTCTCTTCCTTCTTTTTTAATTCTTGCTTCATCTTTTTTTCATTTTCGACCTTTTTTTCTTCAGCTTGTTCTTGTTTTTGCAGCATATCAGCTTCTTTCTGTTTATGTGTGAGTACTTCTTGTTCTTGTTTTTCCCGTGTTTCTTGTTCGACCTTCTCTTTCAATTCCATTTCTTGTTCAAACCTTTTTTCATTATCGATTTTTTCTTCCTCAGCTTTTTCCTGCTCTTGTTTTTGACGTAATTCATCGGTTTCTTTCTGTTTTTGCATAAGTACTTCTTGTACTTCCTTTTCTTCTGTTTCTTTCTCTTCCTTCTCTTTCAATTCATGTTCTTGCTGCAACCTTTTTTCATTTTCGATCTTTTCTTTCTCAGTTTGTCTCTCACGCCAATCATCCGCTTCTTTCTGTTTCTGTACAAGAGGTTCTTGTTCTTCCTTTTCTCTTGTCTCTATCTTGTCCTTTTCTTGCTGCATACTCTTTTCATTTTCGATCTTTTCATTCTCAGCTTGGTATTGTTTCTGACACAGTTTTTCCGCTTCATTGGGTTTCTGTGCGGGAGTTTCTCGCTCTTCCTTTGCTTTTGTTTCTTTCTCTTCCCTCTCTTTCAATTTCTCTTCTTGCTGCAATTTCTTTTTATTTTGGATCTTTTCTTTCTCAGCTTGTTCTTGTTTTTGTAGCATTTCATCTGATTCTTTCTGATTCTGTATTAGAACTTCCTGTTCTTCCTTATCATTTGATTCCTTCGCGTCCTTCTCTTTCAATCCCTTCTGTTGTTGCGACCTCATTTCAGTATCGCTTTGTTCGTTCTTAGCTAGTTCTTTTGATTTTGATGTGAACGCTTCTTGTTCTTCTAATTCTGTATTTTCTTTCTCCTCCTTCTCTTCCGATTCATTTTCTTGCTGCATCCCCTCTTCATTCCTGACCGTTTCTTTCTCTTTATTTTGACCCAGTTCATCAGCTTCATTCTGTTTCTGTATAAGATCGTCTTGTTCCTCCTTTTCTGTTCTTTCCTTCTTTTCAATATCTTTCAATTCATTTTCTTGTTGCATCCTGTTTTTTTTGTCAGTCTTTTCTTTCGTAGCCTGTTCTTGTAGAACACGCATTTCATCAGCTTCTTTCTGTTTTTTAACTTCTAGTAGTACTTCTTGTTCTACCTTTTCTTCTTTTTGTTTTTCTTCTTCCTCACTCAATTCCTTTTGTTTTTGCATCCCCTCTTCTTCTACAGCTAATTCTTTTGTTTGACTTAGTTCGTCCACTTTTTTTTGTTTCTCTATAAGAGCTTCTTGCTCCTCCTTTGCTTTTATTTCTTTCTGTTCTTTAACTAACATATCATTTTTTCCATGCATTCCTTCCTCAGTTTCTATTTCATTTTTCTCAGCTTTTTCTTGTTTCTGACGCAGTTCATCTGCATCTTCTTTTTGCATGAGAGCTGCTTTTCCTTCATTTTCTGTTTTTAATTTCGTTTTTATCTCCATTAATTCTTTTTCTTGCTGCAGATTTTTTTCATTTTTGTTCTTATCTTTTTCAGGTTGTTGTATTTCTTGAAGTGGTCCTTCCTCTGCTTTTTGCTCTTTTTGTATGAGAACTGCTTTCTCCTTCATTGCCTTATTCACTGTCTCTTCACTGTTTTCGTGTCTCTTTTCCTCATGTTTTGTCTTTTCTTTCTCAGGTAATTCTTGATCCGAACACTTTTCGGCTTCTTGAACCCTTCCTGTTAATATTTCTTCCTGTTTAAGCCATTTTATTTCTTTTTCATCTTGAATTTCTTTCTCATCATCCTCCTTTACTTCCGCAGATAATATTTCTTTATGAAGTAATGTTTCTTCTTTTTTCTGTAATGGCACGAGAGTTTTGTTTTCCTCACTTTCTAGTTTTTTCCCATCTAAAGCTTTTGTTTCTTTTTCTTTGGACCCTCTTGTCTCCATATCTAACATTTTAGGTAAGTTTTGTTGCTGATATTGTTCATGCTCTTCTTTTTGTCTTTGTATAGGGACTTCTTGCTGCTCCATTTCTCTTATTTCATTTTCTTCTTTTTTTGTTATATCTGCATCTTCATGCATTTGTTTCAAATTCTCGAATTTTTCTTTTTCAGCTAGTTCATGTTGCTGTTGTGATGTCGCCCCTATTGTTTGATTTCGAGTTTCCGTTTCATTTATTGATCTTTCCTTTTCGATCGTTTCAAGTATATCTTCTTTCTTCTTTATTACAAGTAGTTCATTGTCTTTTGTTATATTGCTCCTGATTGTGTCTTTTTGAGAATTTTCACGTTCGTCTCGTGATCCTTCATCTTGAGATGCCTTATCAATGACATCTGCTTCTTTGTGCAATTGAACTTCTCTTTCTTGATCCTTTGATTGTATCAAAGTTTTATCATTTTCTGCACCTTCGCATAGCTCTTCAAAACTTTTGTGTACTACTTGTTCAATTACTCCAGACACACAAACTACTTGATTGTTCTCTATATTAACATCTTGTAAATCAGCGTGAGGCTTATCTTCATCTTTAGCTTGTTTTTCAAAAGCTACATCTACCGTTGTTCTTTTTGATTGATTTTTTTCTATTTCTTCATTTGGAAGGCTTAATTCTGGTAGTGCGGTATTTTTTTCTTGATTATTGTTATTATTACTATCTTGCATTTTATCATCATTTCGTTCATTTTTGTCATGTTCAATATCTTCTGCATATGATAGAGATTTCGTTTCTTCTACTATATTTTTATCAGATTCCAGCAACTGCTTAGAAGCATTTTCAGTTATCAAGTCTTTTGCTGACTGTTCAAAAACTTGTTCATCATAATCTTTTATTAAACCATGCTCTAAGGTGCTATCACTATTTTCTTCTACAGTATGGACTTGTTCGAATGTAACTTTATCCTTTGATTTTTTTACTATATTCGTTCCTAAGCTATCACTACCATCAGCAGATTGAGCTACTTCTGATTTTTTTTTGGAATCCAATCCATTTAAGCTTGTATGTAATTCCTCATGAGCTGTAAGTTCTTCTTGATTGTTAGTTACTAGGTTACCCGAAATGGTTTGATCTTGATCATGTTGATCTTTTTTGTTCTCAATACTCATTTCGATGGTATTTGGTTCCACAAATATTACCAGTTTTTGTGGTTCACTTTTAGAAATAGTTTCTTTGATAGCTTCTTCTTCTTGCGTACTAGTAGAAGGCACTGCATCTAAATATTTGTAACTATCTGTAGCTCCAGTAGCTTCTTCTTCTTGCATACTAGTAGAAGGCAGTGCATCTGTATCTTTGTAACTTTCTAACACGTTTGAAACTGACTGCTCTTCTTTTGGTAAGGATTGTTCTTCATTAGCAGCTACAGATATTATAGCTTCATGAATAAGCTGATCTTGTAAGTTAGCTGCTTCAGCTTTCGAATGTTTCATTTGTGTAGAACGCATTTCTACGTTCTCTTTTTCTAAGCCACCTGGAAACTGTAAATCCGATTTGCCACTCTCGCTGGTTTCAGCTACCTTTTTCTGGTTTTTCAATTTCATTATTAAGTTATTATTTATACATTTAGTTGCGTCTAAAACGTGCGATGATAGTTTTTTGAATATTGGTATTTTTTCTTTAACTTCTAAAGATGATCTAGTTTCAATAATGTTTAATTCAAAGTCTAAACATTTCAAAGCATCACTAATTATTTGGCTGGACTCTGAATCTAACTCTTCAGCTCGTGAAATTTGTTCCATTTTGCTTTTAAGTTCTTCCAAAATTATTTTTGTAAAAGCCGCATCACTTGGTAATCTAGCAGTTTTATCTAAATTAATATAAAATTTTATATCTTCAAAATGGTTCAATACTTTCCGTATGGACTTTGATAACTGCTTCCATGCAGTTTTATCTACATCTTCACTATTACACAAAAAACTGATATTTTTTATAGATTTCAGGAGATATTCAGATGGTTTTCCATAATTTTCAAACATATACTGTTTTTGAACACTAGATATGGTACCACGCATATTCGAAATACTGCCGTAAACAGAATGAACAGCAGCTACTATACTATCTCTAATATGTGGAGGAAGATTAGGCTCCGAATCTATGTCCTTCTCAATAGAAAATACTTTTTCTTCAATTTGATCAAGATTTATTACAATATCAATCCCTTTTTCTATAAGAGTATCAGAATTACCAGAGAATCCCATTTTCAGTGACTTCATTGTGTTTCTAAGATTATTTAAATTTGACACAATGTCATTCAAATGACTACGTCCAGTAACATCAATATCGGATGCAATTTCAAGCAGTTGTACAGTTTGTTCCGTTTCACTGGAACATTTTTCTAATACATCTGTCGATTTTGTTACTGTAGGCACTATTTCTGCAACGTGAATATTTTGAGTTTCAGTCATATTATTCACTAATAGTTGCAAAGTTGCACAAGCTTCCCTTAAAAGTTCTGGTGGACTATCTTCAGTAATTTGAAGTTGAACACTCCTCACACTGCACTCTAAATCTTCAAGAGTTTCATTGAGAGTGTCATTCGCTGTTCCATCAAAATCTCGCTTTAATTTAATAATAACTGTTTGGACCTCATCTAAATTATTTTGAAGTATTTCTGTATCTTCAACTGACCTATCGCCAGAAGATATATCAATTCTTTCAGTGACATCTTTTAGCAAGTTCTCTAGATCCTTCAAAGATTGCTCTCTAGTTGATTCCGCCAGCGTATCTGGAAGATAGAGGTTTTAAATAACAGGTTAATAGGTTCACACTCCTAGCTAGGACTTTTTTCTTTGGGAATCGAAAATTATGCCTCATGTATTATACACCGTAAATTTTTAATTACATAAGAAAATTTGGTATCTCTGACAACAATTTAGGTTATTTATAAAATATCCTAGAGTTAACTCACCAATTGTGTAATTGTGGAACATAAACAATTTTAATTGTCATAAATTTATGAAAATAAAACTATTTTTAGGATTTACGTACTTTAAACGAATAATAATGCCTCGTTTATTAAGAAGTAGCAGACATAAATGAAACCTAGTTCAATGGATAGATACAGTTATCTACTTTGTCCCTGTGCAATTTTTATTTCTGTAACCTATGGGAATGATGAGAAAATAAGGTTTTTGTATCAGCGAACCCTGAAAGGTCCTTATGGCCAACGGCGTAACCACCGGTGTGTTTTAGTCGGTAAGTGTCTGACATAACCCTGCAGGCGGCTGCAGGGTATCCATGAGGATTTCACATGTACCCCCCTTACTTTCTATTAGTATTAGTCTGAATGTAAAAATAGAGACATAGTACAAAATAAAAATATAGTACACATTCGTAGTTTGAACTTAATTTCCCGCGTTTTCCATACAGTTTTCTGTCGATCGTGTTTTGTTTTCAGTATTTCGGAAAAGTTTACTTTGTTACTTAGACACTTTGTTTAATTAAACTAATGAAAAGGCAATGCCCACTTTGCATGGAACTTTGGCTTAACGTGGACAGACATTTTAACAAGTGAAATTGTACAATGTAAGAAGCTTTGTTACCCAGAACATTATAATCATTATAATTTTGTATCAGTATACTTAAAAAAAAATTTTAGCACTGCGCAGAAAAAAATATATTGGCACAAATGAGCCATTTTGCAACAATCTAGAAAAAGGTCCAATTAGTGACGTCAACAATTTTTTTAGATTCCTCGCACCTGGGTGTATCCGAAAATACCCCCATGTATGTTCCGCGATTTTTCTTAGTTTTCGAGTTATATTTTTTGTGTACTTTTAATGATTTCTGCCAGCGAGGTTTCCAAAAATTCGTATGTTTTTTCGTAGTAAGTATTTTGCAGTCTTTTTTAGTGACCTAATTGTCTACAATGTTGTTTTAACAAAAAAAATAACTCAGCTTCCTAAAATTACTTAAAGTTACCCCAAAAAGGCTTGAAAGTTGGAACTTTAGTTTTTAGTAGGATTTACTCAAACATTCAACTTCAATTTAAAAATACAAAAAGGAGTTTCCATAGCTTCTGGCTAAAATTAAAAACTTCGCATGCTTCTAAACTTCGAAAAATCATAAAATAAATGTACTTAATTAGCCTATTTTGGTTGTAATTGGCCTTCGAAGGCGGAGAGACTAAAAATCATTGAAACACGATTAAAGCATTAAAAATTATTATATCTACTTTTTATCATTATTATGGTAAATTTTACAATAATTTCGGTTTCACCACTAAGATTTTGTCTCAGTTCTTATTCGCATTTTAAATCTTAGTGGTGAAACCGAAATTATTGTAAAACTACACATGCTAAAGTTATTTTACAGGAATTTTAATTAAATTTAATTTGAAATAAAAATAGTTAATAAATTACCAACTGGTGACGATTCAACTATTATGGTTGTGACAATAGCTCTAATGTCTTCTAGTAAATTTTTCGTGGCGACGGATATTTTATGTAAAGTTTCAGTTGACAAAGGTACAGCTAATTCTTCCTTATTTTGCAATACACTAATTAGTAATGTATTTAATGATGTATTCAATTGTTCAATTAGTTGTGCTTGTGGACTTCTTGCTTCTTGCATTAAGGAAATTATTTCTTCTATACTTAAAGAATTAGCAGCAACAATTGCGTTTTCGCTTAATTCTTTTACTATGCTTACAGTTTCTTTTAAATTTGCTGCGCTCAATTTTGACATTTCTTCTATGCCTTCAGTTATTTCTTCGGACAAAAATTCTACCATATGCTGAAGAAATTTACTGGACACTGGGAAAATAATATTTAACTATAAAAAATATTTAAATGAATTTTTTCTTACATTAAATGTATATGTGCGTTTTTGTATGCATGTGTGCAAATGACATTAATGTATGAACTTAATATTTGTCTTTATCCGCCTTCAGGGAATCACACGTGACCATACTATGTATTGAAGTACTGCTGTGAAGTAGCTATTGTTTAGGTGTTGTAAGAGATTTTGGCTTCCGAAACCAAGACAGCAGTACTCAATAACATTATAGCACCAATGAAAACACAAAAAATCAATATTTTTAGTTACATTTATCACTAGTTAACATTATATGAAATAGCACAAATATAGCGGCCCATTGCTTTAAAACGGTAATTTCGATTAATACACATTGTGAATAAATGTGATCCTTTTTCTTATAAAGATCTACAAAAAGCATGTAGTACCTGATTGCCGTGAGGTATAGCAGTGAGTAATATTTTAAAACGGCGAAAGCTAACACTATGTTTATGTTAAAGGTTCGTGCGATATCAAATTGGAATCGTATCGGCACCGCTTTTTAACTGTTTATCAGCCGTCAGCTGTTGATGAGTACCTAAGTGTACGGAGCTGATCAGCACACCTGCAGTGATCAACTATCTGCCGACTTTTAATTAATTTGTAAGAGAGATGTCAGTTAGCTGGTGGAACATCAGATGAACACTCGCCGCTTGTTGTTCTTAAGTGGTTTCCGTTCCGAGGCGATAAGATATCGACACGATGCTGATAAGTGTGCAATGCAGCGTGGGATTTCGTACTAAGAATATTGAATGGCTTACATTAGGCGGTACCGATCTGTTTCCCATCTGATATATGTGCCCTAACCTTGAAGCATTGACATTGCGCCTAACAGTAACAAAGTTCTTGTTATTTAGAATATCACTATTTATTAAAATCAGCGAATGACTTTACTCTAACTACAGTAGCAAATATTAGATTAAGATTGAAATTAGCTGCGGCATATTTTTTTTTAGATAATATTAATAAGCCAACTTGAAAAAGGCGCTTTAAAATTACCAATTTTTATTTTTGTTGGAAGTTCACTATTGAGCTTGTCCTTTGTTTCCTTTTTTCTTAAAACTGAATCTATGATTTCAGCACATAAAGGAAATTGTTTGGTATTACTTTGGTCCAACCTTTCCGATTCTCCAAAATGATAAATTTTTGATTCTGAAATATCTACTTGCTCGTGTTTGAACATTGGGGAATCAGTCAAATCTAATTTAGTTAAGTCTTCTTTAACAATGATTTCAGTTACATAATTATCTGAAATTACAGCTGACGCCATGTTCTCTTCAATACAGGAAAATTTTAATGGTTCTATATTGTACTTATCTTCAGATTGTTCAAAACTGACGTACGATTCTAAAGGAAGGACGTTATTACTTTCCACATAGTACTCAATTGGCGTTATGTAATAATTTTCGTTCTCGGCAATTTGGAAATTTGGAGAATGTAGAAATTCTTCGTTTGTTTTATTGTTTATGCATTCAACTGAAGACTCAGTATGGAGCAACACATTGCTTCCGGTGATATCAACACTTTTTAAATCATCCTCGTTTATACATTCCGTAATCATTGATGTTTCTTGCAACGACTGTAAATTATTAGGTGATTCTGTATTTATAGTGCACTCATCCAAACTCAGTTGACGTAAAAAGTTAGCCGTTTGTATTGACGTTATATCTGGTACCGTTGGCTGTTCGAGGATTGCAGCGGTTACTACTTTTATTGCTTCTTTTAGCACGGTAGATACTATGTCTTTATTTACAACATCACATGACGGAACCTCATCAGTATTCGTTTTTGTGCCAGTGTCTTTAGACAACTCTTGTTCTAATGGTTTCACGAGTTCTCCTAATGGAGCTGCAGTTTCAACATACTGTAAATCTGAACCTTTTGTAATTTTTTGGCGAGAGGTATCGAATTCTGAATTGGACTTCAGTATATCGATACCGTCATTAATATCTTCAATAATATTTGCAACTTCACTTTTAGAGTTCAGATTACTTATTTGCATCGTTTCTTTGACAACATCTTCATCCTGGAAAGACTTTGTATCATTTAACACAAGACTTCCGGTTTGTTCAAATATTATAGGCACCGCAATTTCAGCTGTTATTTTGACTGATTCAACCATATCACCTGATAAATTATCTGGCTTGCTATCATCATTACCATGGAAAAGTTCCACGTCACCGGGATCTTCATATATGTCTTCTTCTACCGACGGAACTTTACATTTAATTTTTATTTTTTCTGGCATTACAGAAATTTTCTCATTTATTTCAAGTTCATTGTTTTGACTCAAAGTATCTGTTGTTATATTATCATACTTGGTTTGCACAATATCTGCAGTCGTTGATCTTTCAGCTGCTGCATTTATTGGTTCAATCATATCTATTACAGTAGTTTCCAATTGGAAATCATCTGCTGAAGCTTTAACATCTTTGGTGTAATCAGATGCAGTGTTTTCTAAAGATATAATTTCTGCATCTTCATGGATATCTTCTTCTTTGTTTTCCAATTTATTTTTGGATTCGTTAATAGAAATGGTACTTTGTTCTACCTTTGTTTTCATGATTTTATTTTTTTCTGTTCCCTTACTTTCTCTTTCTGTTATTAATATGTTATTTGAGCTATGTGCAGATGAATCTGCTACAGATTTTTCAGGCTTGCAAGTTTGATCTTCAGTTTTTAAATTAAATTCATTAATTATTTCAGTTTGATCTAAAGTTGCTGTTTCAGCTGCAGCAATAATTTGTTCAAGTAAATCAATCGCCGCAGTTTTAAACAGGCTATCACACGTAAAATTCAAGTTATTTATTTCTCCATCGTCATCGTAAGCTACTTGTTGTGCTGACGGTAGTTTACATTCAACTCTTAATTTTTCTGGCTCTCCTGACGTGTTTTTTACATTTTCCCCTCCTAATATTTCTAGTAATATGCGCATATTACTAGAAATCGACTCGGCGGAATCGACTTCTTCAACATTTTTATTTTGAGTTAAAGTACAAGTATTATGTACCTGTGATATATCTAGGACAGAATATTCAGCTTGATCATAAGTGGTATCAGATGGAATAAGAGATTCAGTTATTTCAACAACTTCAGGGGCCTCTACAGTGATAGCTAATTTGGTATGATCAATCCCAATGATTACATTTTCCTCTTCTTTTGTTCCTAATAATGTGCCAGTATCTGAGGAATTTACTTCTCTTGTATTTTCATTTTCAATTATAGTGCAAGTGGTATGTAATTGTGCTGTGTCTAGCACAGAATATTTAGCTTGATCATAAGTGGTATCGGATGGATCAAGAAACTCAGTTTGTTCACTAACTTCAGGTGCCACAAATGTTATTACAGATTTAGTATCATCAACCCCAATGTTTACACTTTCTTTTTCCAATGTTTCTAATAATAATACAAAATCAGTGGAATCAACATCTTTAGCATTTCCATTTTCGGTTATTGTGCAAGTGTTTTCTGTATGTGGTGCGTCTAGTACAGAATATTCAGCTTGTTCATATGTGATATTAGATGGAACAAGAGCTTCATATTGTTCAATAACTGCAAGTGCCTCAACTGTAATGGATGCTTTAGTACTATCAACCTCATTGCTTATATTTTCATTTTCTTTTATTACTAGTAGTATGCCAACATCAGAGGAATCGACTTCTTTCATATTTTCATTTTCAGTTATGGTGCAAGTGGTATGTACATGTGCTGTGTCTAGCTCAGAATATTTAGCTTGATCATAAGTGGTATCGGATGCATCAAGAGATTCAGTTTGTTCAACAACTTCAGGTGCCTCAACAGTGATGGCTGATTTAGTATGATCAATTCCAATGTTTACATTTTCCTTTTCTATTGTTTCTAATAATATGCCAAAATCAGTGGAATCGACTTCTATAGCATTTCCATTATCGTTTATCGTGCAAGTGTTTATTGCTTGTGGTGTGTCTAGTACAGAATATTCAGCTTGTTCATATGTGATATTAGACGGAACAAGAGATTCATATTGTTCAATAACTGCGGTTGTCTCAACCGTGATGGTTGCTTTAGTACTATTAACCTTATTACTTATATTTACATTTTTATTTGTGTTTAGTAATATGCCAACATCAGTGGAAGCGACTTCTAACATATTTTCATTTTCAATTATGGTACAAGTGCTAAGTACCTGTGCTATATCTGGCACAGAATATTCAGCTTGATCATAAGTGGTATCAGATGGACCAAGAGCCTCAGTTTGTTCAACAACTTCAGGTGTCTCGACAATGATACCTGATTTGGTATGATTAAAGTCAATGTTTGCATTTTCCTTTTCTATTGTTTCTAATAATATGCCAGCATTCGAGGAAGTGACTTCTTTTATATTTTCGTTTTCAATCATGGTGCAAGTGGTATGTATTTGTGCTGTGTCTAGAAGAGAATATTTAGTTTGATCATAAGTGATATCGGATGGATCAAGGGACTCAGTTTGTTCAACAACTTCAGGTGCCTCAACAGTCATGGCTGATTTAGTATCATCAATTCCAATGTTTACGTTTGCCCTTTCTATTGTTTCCAATGATATGCCAAAATCAATGGAATCGACTTCTTTAGCATTTTCATTTTCGTTTATCGTGCAAGTGTTTAGTGCTTGTGGTGTGTCTTGTACAGAATATTCAGCTTGTTCATATGTGATATTAGACGGAACAAGAGATTCATATTGTTCAATAACTGCGGTTGTCTCAACCGTGATGGTTGCTTTAGTACTATTAACCTCATTACTCATATTTTCATTTTCTTTTGTATCTAGTAATATGCCAATACCAGTGGAAACGACTTCTTTTATATTTTCATTTTCAATAATGGTACAAGTGCTATGTACTTGTCCTATGTCTAGCCGAGAATAGTCAGCTTGATCACAAATGGTATCAGATGGAAAAAGAGACTCAGTTTGTTCAACAACTTCAGGTGTCTCGACAATGATACCTGATTTGGTATGATCAAACTCAATGTTTACATTTTCCTTTTCTATCGTTTCTAATAACATGCCAAGAATCGAGGAACCGACTTCTTTTATATTTTCGTTTTCAAGCATGGTGCAAGTGGTATGTATTTGTGCTGTGTCTAGAAGAGAATATTTAACTTGATCATAAGTGGTATCGGATGGATCAAGGGACTCAGTCTGTTCAACAACTTCAGGTGCCTCAACAGTGATGGCTGATTTAGTATGATCAATCCCAATGTTTACGTTTTCGTTTTTTATTGTATCTAATATTAAGTCAAAATGTGTAGAATCGATTACTTTAGTATTTAAATTTTCGTTAATTGTGCAAGTGTTATGCACTTGTGCTGTATCTAGTACAAAATATTCAGCTTGTTCATGTATGGTATTAGGTGAAACATGAGATTCGTATTGTTCAATAAGTGCGGGTGCTTTAACTGTGATGGCTGTTTTAATACTATCAACCTCATCGCTTACATTTTCGTTTTCTTTTATGGATAGTAATATGCCAACATCACTGGTAGTGACTTCATTCATATTTTCATTTATGGTGCAAGTCGTATGTTGTTGTGCTGTATCTAGCACAGGAGCTTGATTAGATGTGGTATCAGTTGAAACAAAAGACTCAGTTTGTTCTACAACTGTGGGCGCCTTAACTGTGATGACTGCTTCAGAGTGTTTAACCTCTGTTTTTTTAGGTACGATATCATTATTCATATAGAAATTCTCTTGTGTGTTTTCATCTCTTACAAAACATTTATTTTCGCTTGACCTTGGTTCTGTTTGTATACTGGCATTAACCTCATTTGTATTATCATCAATTTCATTACTTTCTATCCTAGCAATATTGTTTGCACAATCTGTCACAGAGTGTTCATCTAATCCAATTTGGTGGGTTGATACACTAGCTATTAAATCTGGTAAAGACAAGTTATCAGTTTGTTCAACAATTTCCGGTATTTCTGTATTAACAACTAATTTACTTTGTTCATTGGCACTTATCAATCTTGTTGTTTGTGTCACTTCATCGACTGGTACAAAAGCATTGCCTTCCTCAATATCTTCATATGTTTCATGTTCAACCGATGGAACTTTACATAAGATATTAAGTTTTGTGTTTTTTTCTTTATTAGATTTTTCATTACCACTATCATTTTCTTTTATATCTAATATTTCTACAACAATCACATCCTTGTTATCATTAATATTATTATTACTGATTTCTGTGCAAAAAACATCTATTTGCGTCACATTTGTTATTAGTTGTTCTATTTGGCTATCTACGGTATCCAAGTCTGATATCGTTAACTGCTCAATTTTTTCCAGGTCCGCAGTTTTTGCCAATTGATACTGGCATTGTTCGTTCATTTCGAAGGAGCTATTATCCATACAGTCATTGATATTTTGTTCGAGTTTTGTAGTCATTGGCACATTTTCATTTATTTTGATTTCTATCGGTACAGTGATCTCTGCACTGCTAGTAACGATACGTTTGTTATCAAACATTGTTTCCGAAAATTCATAGCTATCTAAATCGTTTATGAGCGCAGGTATTGTGATTGCCAAAACATTATCTTGTTGTTTTATTGTTTGAATATAAGCAGTTTTTTTAGTTTCTTCATTTGTTCCTGCATTTCCTGAATATGCTTTATCATCTTGTAAATTCTCAATATTAGTACTAATATCTTTTGGTTCGGCTGTATGAGTTTCATATTGTCCACTTTTGTGAAGAAGAGAGTCAGAAGTAATTTTAGCTGAAATAATTTCATGTTCATCTCCAAAGCGTTTTTGATTTTCTTCTTGTATCACTGAAGGGTTTTTAATATCAATACTTCGCTCTTTATTTGCAGTAGAAACATTTGGCTGTCCCTCATTTCTTGCTGTTTCCGGTGGTAATTGTTGAACTTTATCATTACCGGATATAGTTTTATGAATGCTATGAACATCTTCTGCTTGTAATAATTCTGTAGGAATCTTATCTTCTTTTAGTTGGTCATGCAAAACATTATTATCTTTCATATCAACAGAATTAGCATTGGTCAGAATCTCAGCGCTGTTTTTACATAACCTAGCTATAGTTTCTATAATTTTTTTGTATAAAGTCATACCAAACACTGATATAACTTGGTTTTCTTTTTTATTTAAATCATTTTGGAGAACCGTCAGATTTTTATTCAATTCTTGAACTAGAAGTCGATGCTTATTATATTTCTTGATTGAGTACGGAACTAAGCAATCCTTTTCTATCAAGCGATGATCTGTTAAAATCTCTGTAATATTTTTGCTTAACACTTTTGCTATAGTCAATGACTCTTCAATATTATCTAAATTAAGGTGTTTAGATAAATCATTTAAAATTTGAGTAAAATCAACAGATGAATAAGTTTCGATGTCCTGTTTGAGTGTCTCTGTAAATTTTCAAAAGTAGAAAAATGTACGTGAGTTGTGTTTATGTGTATTTTAAATATAATTTTTAAATTGGCCATTTTTATATCATAGTTACTGAATATCAATATACAAAGAATGAATACAAATAGAACTAGTGCCGGAAAATTATTGTTATCCTTTACATATAAATCGATTCTTTCTTTTAGTATGGATTTTTGCTCCGACGTTTAAGAAAAAACCGATATTATTAAGATTCGCAAAATAATTTTCATTTATATTTTAGAACAACAAAATATTGAGCTACAATAAATCATGATAGTAAAAAATCCATTATAATAGATATCATAATGGTCATAACTTAAATATTTACTGTATCAAATAAATATGTATATATATATATGTATATATATATATATATATTTAAGTAAAGGACGGTGTAAAATTACAAAATTGAATTTCATACCTAACTTAGACATTTGTTCTTCTGAATTTTTGAAGACTGGTGTAGTTTCCAGTTTAGCAGCATCATCAAAACTATCAGCTTCTAAGTTAACAAGCTCTTCCATTTCACAAATTACTACATTTTCATTGTCTATATTAGCGAATTCTTGAGTGGAACTGGTTACATCACAAGGAACTATTTCAAGAACTTCAGGTAGTAATATTTCTTTGGCATTTAACGCTGTAGCAGTATCGCTGTAAGATATTTTTTCAACTATTTCTGCTACTTGTTCGTCGGTATTTACTTCTTTGGTTTCGATGTATATATTATCTATTAGATAAGCATCCATATCTTTTGAGGTAGCATTACTGCTGATATCTTCATTCATAACAATTGAAACTTCTTCTGTAACTATAGCTTCTATTGGTTCGGTAGATGTTGCATGTTCTTGAATTTTGTCTGGCGATTGTAAAATAGATGCCATCTCTTGTTCATCAGACGTAGTAGTTTGTACAGAAATAATAAATTCTTGCAAAATATTTAAACTGCTTCTAACTTGATGTAATGCATTTTGATCAATGGTAATCACATTTTGTAAATTATCAATTAATTGTTCCTGTGCCACCGGAAGAAAGTTTTTAAGTTCTTGTGTTAGTTGCAACTGTTTTACCTGCATAGGCTGAACTAATTCACTTTGGTCTTGTGTTGACACTAACTCTATGGCAGAAATATTTTCATATAATTGCTTAGCGATGTTCACAGTTTTTATGAGTTCTTCAACATTTGATACAGTCGACAATTTTTCAATGGCTTCTAAAATATTATCTGATATAAATTGCTCTATGTGATGCTTCATATCACCTGTAAAAATAGATACAATATATTGAAATAATACTCAAAAAGTTCTTGTTATTACTAGTGATTGTAACTCATTCTACTCATTTTACTGATCGTATTATTAAACGAAGTGAAATGAGTGACGGATAAAATATAATAACTTTCGTTACAAACATGAATAACTTATAAATGTTGTAGCGTTTGTTTTTGAACGGGGCGTGACACTGACACTTATATAACTGACACACGTAGGACAGCTGTTTTGTCTATGATAGCGAACCGCTTACGTCGGCGTAACTGTCAAACTTCATTGGTTGGGTTGGTAATATTGAGGGAATAGTTCCTTTTTTTCATTCGACTCAAAAACTCGACTTGAGACTTATAAAAAAAAAAGGAAAAGAAGGCAGTGAGTCTCTGTTGGTGCGTGTGGATGAGTGGATGGAGTTTGACAGTTGTTGAATTGTGAATTATTTTTTCCCATATCGATTTGAGTTCTCAATCGGGCGTTTTGTTACTCGATTCTGAATTTTAGTCGAAATTGAATTTCCTCGCTGATGTAGGTAGGTATTCTCTTTTCCTCCGCTTACGGCGAGCATAGTTATACGGGTTTGAGTTTATTCGTTAACTCGTCTCGCATACAGCGGCTGTCTGTTTGACTGTGACCTTTGCCTTCGGTTGGAGGGAGAATAACAATCATAGACACATATTTGGGAGTTGGTAGTCTTTTTCTCTATGCTGAGTTGTCAAAACAACATTTAAAATTTTCGAAATTTGTCGAGGCACATTCAGTTTTTGTTTTCTGCCCAAAGTATTATATAAGGGGGATACCTGCATTTACGGAGTCGGTGACTTAGATCCGAAAAGTTTATATCCTGGAGGATATTGGCGGAAATTGCGCGGAGACGCTAACCGAACTGTAATTCGGGGTGATAAACTCACACAAGGTAGATGGTCCCGGAATCTTGGAAGGCTGGACAGTATCTTGTGATAGGAGGAACAAAGTAACGGATAGTTTTATATTGAGGGAATAGTTCCCTCAATGCTACCAACCCAACCAATGAAGTTTGACAGCTACGCCGACGTAAGCGGTTCGCTATCATAGACAAAACAGCTGTCCTACGTGTGTCAGTTATATAAGTGTCAGTGTCACGCCCCGTTCAAAAACAAACACTACAATGTGAGGTATTATGAAATTCCAGTGAAACTTAAAATCATACAGCACAATTTTTTATGTTAAAAGAGTGGCAAACACGTTTGGCTCACCTGATGGTAAGCGACCACTATAGCCTATTATACGCTTACGACACAAATAATATCACTCGCACCGTTGCCTACCCGGTCAGGCCATTCCTTACCACGTGGAAGTAATCATTCAAATTTTTTTGTCATAATTTGAAACTGGCTTAAATTGTAAGTAATTCATATTATAGTCTCAAGGAATAGTACCATTAATATTCGATAGAGAGCGCTTTAATTGTTTCAATTGTTGTAGCATACGCGGTAAACGGTAGGTATACCAAAGGATTTTTGCTCTCCTTTTTATGTTAAAGGGGTGGCAAACAATTGTATGGCCCGCCTGATGAGAAGTAGCCATTATAGCCTATAGATAGACGCTTGCGATACCAAAAATATCACACGCACCGGAGGAGATCGGTGCTCCAATTCGAGCGGAAACCCTGCTATACCCTACCTCTCTTATGTATTATAAACAGAGTAATATTTCAGAGAGAGCAAATGTTATTTTTAACGAAATGCTTCTAAAATAACGAAGAAGTCGCTGCTTTATTGCAATAGAGATGCTTGTATGAAACTGTCCCCACTCCTTGATTTACCCTTACACCGAAGCCGGCTGTAATGCGACATACGATAGATGGATGAAATAATTTGAGGGCATAATAACACTTACACTTTAAAATTATCTAGACATAAACTTACATTAAAATGTAAGAAATAAAGCATATTCTTTACTTATCTACTCAGAAGTACCGAGCTTTCAAATTAAAAAATAATTATCTAAATCGGTGCATCCAGTATAAAGTTCTGAGGTAACAAACATAAAAAAATCTTTCGAATTGACAACCTCCTCCTTTTTTTTGAAGGCGGTTGAAAACTATCCAGGTCAGATAGGAAAAAGGACGTGTTCATTACACTAACATGCTAAATAGACCATAATGTATTGATGGCCTACCTAAGCACCGTGAATTAGGAATTACCTGAGAAAATTTACTAGCGAATTCAGACAAAGATTTAAATTACATTTCCGCAAAAAGCATATTATAAACTAATTATTATACCTAAATATTTTTCTATTATAATTTCAAGAAAATTGATAATCGTATGAAATGGACGGCTCATATCGAAACGGTATGTGATATCATAGCAAAATAACGCGCTCAGTGATGGTAGTATCGTACTGGTTAAACAGCGACTTACAGGAGCCATTGACAAAATTTATGATTTACAATACGCATCCTTATGCAAAAAGAAGTTTGCAAACAAACATTTGGTCAGTTATCTTATTGAAAGTCTGTACATAAAAAAATACGTGTGGCACTCCACACCAGCCATCCTCACCCTGCCCGCCTGCATGTTGCTTCTTCACGCCTCTTTTAAAGGATCCCAGGTTGTAAGAGGGAGGAAACACGTGAGCGGGCAGAGCATTCCATTTACGGACAAAAAAATGAGTCACCAAATTTCTTTGTACGCGTTGGAATTGTGGCCACAGTAAGACGGTGACAACGTAGGCCAGCGCGCGTGGTCCTCTGAAGGAAAGGGGAAGGTGGTGCGAGCAATATTCCACGCTACCAGTAGTATCAGGATCCACTTGACGCTGCTCCAACACCGCAATTCTCTCTCTACTCGAAGGAGTCAAGTTCAGCGGTAACAGAACTGCGGAAGGCCGCCATCTCCGAGCGGAATTCCCTCATCTCCTTCATGCAGTCGGTCAGCATACTTTTTATATCACTGGTGTGATTATTTCTGGAGGCGTTCTCCTTGGCCTTACCCTGGATCTCATCTTCCTTTGGAGAGCCACTGGCCAAGTCGCCAGGTTCCCGTGCAGCAACCAGTTTTTCGGGCTCGGAAGATTCGCTGATACCCTATACAGGCGTATGCGTGTTTTCACCCCTGCGTGTGCTCTTCTTGCAGTTCGGGCATATCCAGTGCTAGCTACCACGCGACTTTTCCGGGATGGCGAGGCAGGCCTTATTATATTTTATTGGGCAAGCACAGCAAACATTTTTGCCCGGCGCCAGAAAAATTCCACAGTTTACCATGTTTAGTCCAAAAATTTTAATTATAATTATAAAGTCTAAATAAAAGGGAGACAAATAAAAAAGGGGTCTAAAACAAATATATAAAAAAAGGAAAAAAAAAGAGGGCTATGCTCGGTGTTTCCCTACGTGATAAGATCCAAAATACGGAGATCCGTAGAAGGACCGGTGTGTACGACATAGCCCGAAGAGTTAGCACGCTGAAGTAGCAATGGGCAGGCCACATCGCTCGAGGATCTGACAACCGTTGGGTAAGAAAGGTCCTCGAGTGGCGACCACGTACCGGACGACGCAGCGTGGGGCGGCCCCCAACACGGTGGACTGACGACATCGTCAAATGTGCTGGGAGCCGCTGGATGCGGATAGCGCAGGACCGCGCATTGTAGCGTTCTATGGGGGAGGCCTATGTCCTGCAGTGGACGGAGAAAGGCTGATGGATGGATGGATGGATGAACTGACCCGGCAAACTTCGAATCGCCTAACAGTCGATGAATGTCTTCTTCTTAATCTTTAAAGGTTTAGCTTATTAAATTAACAATTTTACAACTGAAATAAAAAAAAACTTTACTAGGATACTAGAAATAACTAGTCTGGCCATAAAAACTTTTCTATTTTTCTACTTTATCTTTATTTTGAATTTGAAACACGAATATTACTTTAAAAAAAATCTTTCGATTTTGCGCCATTTCACATATTTTTTCATGTTCATTATCAAATTACAATATGGAATGGGGTGTTAAAGGAAATAGGACTGCAGTGATCGCCTTGCACAAAGTGGGTATGGAGCCATCGGTCATTTTCCAGACACTTCAAAAGCTTGGTATGAGCCATACGTTTGTGTATCGTAATTAACAGATACAACAACACTTTTTCTGTCGAAGACCAGAAAAGATCGGATGAAAATTGAGTTTTTGCATAATTTTTTTCCGTGATTTTTTGAAATTTTCATGCCTATCCGGGGCAGAGACGAACCCCTAAAAATCAAAGTTCTTTCAAATCAGACCCACCGTAATTAATTTATAAATGGCTGAAATAATTCACCTTAAAACATACTATGGTACAAATATTTACTAATCAGCATTATCACAGATTATCACAGCAAATAATACAGCAATATTTTTGCCTACTCATTGGCAGTTTTCATATAACATAAAAGTTTTATTTCCGACGCTATTTGGTGTTGCCTGAAGCATTTTGTACAACTTTAGTTTATCAGGTAATTCAATTTTCTTCAAAGTATTATACCGTTTAATTTATTCAAACCAGAAATTAAAACGAAACTTGCAAAAATAATTTTAAATTGTCTTATCAAACCTTATCAAACAAGTGCACAAACTCACCTAATACATAAACTCCTTGATTCAGCGATTCATTGACAGATTCTATTCCTAAAATGTCTTGTGTCAGCTCCATGTTTTCACCCAGCAATAAGTCAACTTCTTTATTAAGAAGCAGTTCTGCAGGTGTAATTTTACTACTATTTTCAAGAATTTCTTGTGCAGGGTGTTTTATTATTTTTTCTTTTATAACACTTTCATCAGCTGTTTTTTCTAATCTGGTTAATACATCTGCGTTTGGCACAATAGTTTTACCCCCCACAGACTGACTTTCTTTATTTTCAAAGTCAACTGGAGTTTCCGACTCTTTATCGATATCGTTTGTAATGTTTAGTAATAAAGAAGGTTCAGAAGCTGTACTTTCCATTGATTCAAGAGAAGATTCTTGTTTGGTATTATCTAAATTATCAATCTTCACTACTTGAGCACTTGTTGCAAAAGCTAAATCATTTTGTAAGCACGACGTGACTTGAATTATTTTTTGGACTGTATCGGTGTTTGTCTCTGAGCCTATTTCCGGTGCAACATTTATTGTTTGAACTTGCAATATTGAAAGAGAATTTAGCAATTTTTGTGCCAATTTCACTTGAGTATCATTATAATTTAAAGATGTTTGCTCAGTCTCTTTCTCACTTGTCTGTTGTTGATTTGTTATACTTTCTAGTAGCTCTTGTGCATTGATAAGTGATTCTTTGTAAAGGCCTTTTAGTTCAGCGATTTTCGCAATGACATTAGTTTTGTCAAGAGTTTCCAAAAGTTCTATAAGCTGATCTATATGATGGATAATTTGCGGGCTTTGTTCTGAAAGTTAAAAGTTATTTATTTATTTATTTACGAAAACTGCTGTAGGATGTTAATAAAACAGCAAATGTTCAATAAATAGCATTAAAAAGTAGGTAAAATATTCAGTACAATGTTGTAATTTTAGTTAAAATATCGATAGCATAAATTAATTGGTTATTTACAACTTGCTTTGTATTACCTTTGATATTCACTTCTATTAATTTATCTGTACATTGTAAACTATATTCAGATAAGCCTAATTCTGTTAATAGTTGATAAGTTGTTAAAAATATATTAGAGAGCTTTTCTATTTCCAATGATTTCTTTCCTTCCAAATACTTATCTGTATTAAGCCAATCATAATTGGATAAATTTTCTTTTAAAGCAATAACTAAATCCCGCTTTTGGTCAACAAAATTTGTACATTCTGTTAACTTTTTTAATTCACGAGCCAATTTTAAACATTTGATTATATCAATACAATTGAATACATTTAATGCGGCCAATATATCTGTTTCAATATATAAGAAACGATCTAATGCATTTTCCAATGAATCTATGTTAGAATTGACATCTAAAAAGGAAATTTTGAAAGTATTATATATAGAAAGTACACGCAAGGTAATTAATAAAATATAGTAGAGTCATCAAAAACTTACCTTTAGGCAGATTCTCGTTAGTGTCTATTTGATCATTGTCTTTTGTCAGTACAGTATGTAATGATTTTTCTACGTCGTCAATGGACTTGGTAATTTCTTTCCACTCTTGCAAAGCAGGTAAATCGTCCATTGATTTTAAACTTTCCTGTATCATATGTATTTCCTTATCTGCTTCCATCATTAACGAAATATTTTCGATATCAATAACAGTCTCAGAAGATTCAATTTGTTCTCTGAATTGTTTGTGTATATCAGACATAGTTTCTACTATAGACTCAGACGTTCCTATATCTACAGAAACCGAATCATCTTCAGCATTAGAAAAAACTTTTTCTTGTATACTTAAAAGTTCTCCTCGAAGTGCTTGAAGTGGTTCGATCATTTCATTTAGGACTGCTTTGAGGGTATTATTGTCATCTTTCATTTTAATAGCAATTACTGAATCATTTTTATCTATGATAAAACTGTGCAGCAAAGTTCCACAATCAGATAGACATTTCGATAAAATCAAATATTTTCCCGATCCTAAAGCGTCCTTGTAAATCTGATGCTTTTGTAAGCATTTTTGAACTCTTGTGAGCATTTCTTTTTCCGTTTCATCCAAATAACCTAATGAAGAATTTATTTCAACTAAGCGTAAGAGATTTTCCATCTTTTCAAATAATAAAGATTCATCACTGTGCGTTACCGTTAAAGGATCTGTTATTTCATTTATAATATTTTCTTGAAGATTTTTTAATTTCGGGTGAACAAAATCAATTACTTCGACAAATTTCCCGATCACTTCTTTGAAAGTATCTGATTTAACCATACTTTTGTTTAAAGTATCTCTAAAAAACATTCCTACAGCCTCAACTTTCTCATTTGGACGATTAACCAATAAATCGGATTGAGAATCTATGAGTTTAAGAATTAGTTTCTGTACATTTCCAAGGTTGTCGTCTGTTTCTAAGAAAAATGTTGTCAAATATTTGTTAATATCTTCAGAAAATTGCAATTCATGTCTTTTGGTTTGAAATTCTTTGACGAGATTTTGCAGAAATCCGAATTCTTGTATAAGTCGTATAATTTTTTTATGGCTTAAGGATTTAGTTACGAGGTGTTGCAAAATGGCAAACTCATTTTTACAAGTTGTGAAAAAGTCTTCTAAGATCATTAGATCAGCCACAGATGTAAACTGAACCGAATCTTGAACAACATCTACAACACTTTGAATAATGTCGTTCATTTGTTTTAACGAGTCTGATTCTATTTCAGAAGCCAATTGCGGCGTTGTACAAGATGTTAAATATGATACATGAGATAAGTCAACAAAGTCATATTGTTCTAAAACAGCTATGCTTTTTTCTATTTCATCTACAATTCTTACTAATTTTGCTTCATCAGCAAATTTTTCAGGAGTAAATGGAGTATATTGTATTAGATCTTCTTGAATAGCCATAACATTTTCATATAAGTCTTCTATAACGGTTTTAACTTTATTAATTTGAATTCCTTTTGAAACATCGGTAGCGTTAAGTAAATTGTTAACAGTGTGTTCAAGAATTTGTATTTCTTCAATAAAAGCAGTTTCAGTAGATATAGATTTGGTCTCATTTAAGATATCTTTAAGATGTTCACAGCCCTCTCTTAATGTCTCAACTTTATTAGATATTTCTATAGTTTTATCTGCGGTCTCCATAGCTGGAAACACCACTTTTAAACATTCATTTAAATATTCTTTAAATTTAAAAATGCTAATCATAAGTGTACTTATCCTTTCAGCAGGTATTTCTAAAATATCTTCATAAATTGGAATGTTATTTACATCTAACACTGATAAACTTTGATGAAGCAATTGCATGGGCTCTGCAATCACTGTTAACTTACTAGTATTTACTAAATTTTGCACAACATTATAACTTTCCATAATTAGTGGATGCAATATTTCTTCTAGGCCCGAGTGTAACTCTCCCAAACCTAAAGCAACTGATTTAAGACTAGAATAGTCACTCACTTCAGACAAAGTATCAAGGGCATCTAACACTTCAGGATTTTGGAGTACTTCGATGTGTTCATTTAATGTTTGTAAAGTTTTTGCTGTTGCTGATAAAACTGGTTCTTGGTCTAAGGGTTGAACTGCTTGTTGTAAATCAATTTCTTTTGCTATTGGTAAAACCAAGCGGTCGGAAGGTATAGTTTCTGCAGTAGTTTTTATACCAGATATATCTTCTAAAGTCGACATTTCATCTATGCATTCAACTGGGTTTTGTTCTTCTATCATAACAATACAACTCTGAAGATTTTGGACCGCACTAACCATGTTAATACTGACGTCATAGGGTTCAATATTTTCACCAAGTTGTGAAATAACATCGTGTTGTATAATTTGTAAGGTAGTGTTTAACTCGTGAAGCGGTTCTGCAATCGCAGATACGATTTCGGTATTTTCTTTCAGGCTAGCTGTATTTTCAGCAATAACTTGATTCAACGTCAGAATATTTTGATTTAACTCCAGGAGAGGGTTCGCTAAAGTTTTGACAAAAGAACTACCAGAATTTTCAGAAAGATGTTCACTTTCGAGAATATCGATTGGCCTCATACAGGCAATATTTCGTTTTAGGTCTTCCAATATAGGGCAAATGTTCTCCAATACGGGAAGAAGTGACATTTTTATTTCTTGCGTCGAATCAATTGTTTTTACAGTATTTATTGTTGCTATCGTCTGATTAATATGTTCTATAATTATGTTTGCTGTACTTGCTTCGTAAACACCAGTTGAAATATCTTGAACATGCTCGGAATCTAATTGCATACTGATTTCATCAGCATGGTTTAATACTTCTTGCAAACTCAATTGCACATCTGCAATATTTGTCAAAATGGCACAATTGAGTTCTGATTCAAATACGTTATTAATAAACGTCTGTTGAATGATTCTTAATGTGTTACTTATACTAGATAAATACAATGTGTGGTCGGAATTAATGTTTAATATTGATGTATTGAGTCTGTTGACGGCTTGGCAAATTTCCATAAAAGTGAAGTATTTCTTAGCTTCATTACACTCAATAACATTTTCTAGAACTTTTGTTAGGTTTTTATGCAAAAGGTCAAAATTAGTTCTAACATCAGGCATTGTATTCAATAGTGGTATATTATTTTCTAATGATATCAAAATTTGAGCCATCTTTTGCAGGACTTCTAGTTTATTATCACTCTGTAGGATTTCATAGGATCCGACATTATTTTCAGTAGTTTGAATTTGAGATGATATTTCCCTCAAATTGTTTTTAATAGATATCAAAACATCTTTCAATAATTCCTTATCTTCTTCATTTTTAGTTTCAGTAGACAACTTTTCAAAAGAATTTCTTAATTTCAAGACCGATTCCATAACAGTTTCAATTATTCCTGTATTATATTTACATATATTTGCTGTTGATTCCTTAACGGATAAAGATTCAATATTCTCTAATGCCACTTGAAGGTCTTGAATCGAAGCTGACATATCATTTAATATCACTTTACCACTTTTTATTCTACAAACATTTGTGAGTTGAGAGCTATCCGCAGTATCTACAATGTATAACAAAGAATTCAGTGGAATCTTTAATTCAAATACCGCTTTTTGTGTATCCTTTAAATGTTTAGTTTCTAGAGTAGGTTCTTCTATTTTAATCTCACTGGCTTCACTCAGCAAGTTTCTGGCTTTTATTGTGTCAGCTGAGAATCTAATTGCTGCATTCATTTCATTCACTAACGAATTCATTTCTGAAATATTTTTTTGTTCACTAATAGTGTATTCCCACTCAATCATAACTTTGATCGCGTTCATCCACTTTTTCATTTCTTCACCACAAGTTTCTATAAATGCAACACATGTTTTCTTAACAAGTGTCTTGTTATCACTTTCTACATCTATACATTTTTCAACAATCGTTAATGACTGGTGTAATGGTTTTAAGGAATGTGTTAGATTATTGAAAAGTGTGCGGCTAACTTCTTTAGATTCTAATGGTGATTCTTTTACAACGTCAGCAATACTTTGTATTTCGGATAGGGGTTTAATTAAGCTACTTATAATTTCCAAGCTCCTCGATGCAGTGGCAGCGGATGACATTAGTTCTGATTTTAGTATAATATCTCTTTCAATTATTTGAACATCATTTATTATTTTCGCTAGAGATGTACTAATAGTAGTAATTTTTTCTCTAAATTCTTCGTCAGATAAAGTAATATTTTTGGGTTGTGTTTCTAGATCAACTTGAACTTGGGGTGGTATGGACTCATCTACTGATTTGCTTAAGGATTTTTCACTTCCAGAACTGGATCGCCTTGAGCTACGGCTGCTCCTTCGTTCTCTCCTGGATTTGGCAATAGGAGTTCCTTTATCAGTTTTCTTAGCAGGTTCTTCTTTATGCACTATAGTTTTAGTAACATCAGATGACTCTAGCCCTTCCTCTGGAGAAGGTTTTGATGATTTGGACTTTGGCTTGTCCAAGCTCCGTGCACTAGCGAAGCTTTGTAATTCACTCTCTGATAAGACTTGAGTGTCATCGTCTCTTTTCTCCTCTGAAAGAGACTGATCACGTGAAAAGCTGTAGAAATCATCACCACTTCTTTGTGAATCCGACTTTTTCCTCAGCATTTTTTTGGGCATGTCAGATTTTTCATCTGATAATAATGCCATAGTTTTTTCTAAATAATCCTCACCACCTAAATCTGGATCTAAAGATAACTGTGGAATACCGTTTTCATCAGCAATAGAGAGATCTTCAACATCTGCTTCTGTCCGTAAGTCTTCTTCGGGGGAAGCAAAGTATTCTGGAGATACATCAATAATAATAGCTTCCATTAACAAGTTTCCGGAAGTAGACGTCTCCTTTACAAATCTTAGTGGAGGCAATTCAACGACGTTGTGCTCAGTGACATTTTCAGATAATTGATCAGCGTACATTTCCACTATTTGTAATGCTTCTTCTTCAGTTAAATCGGGTGTTTCGTATAATGAAACCGACACTTCCTTGCCATCGAAAGAAAATGAAATTTCTCCTTTGTCGTCTAGTGTGATATCACCAACAGGCGTATCATACATTTGCGAAGTTCTTTCTTCGTGAATAGTGCTAAGAGATAGATTTCTTTGTAAAGCTTGTTCTTCTGCTTTCTTTTTGTTCTTGGCTTTCATCGAATCATCAAATCCAAGCAGAGAAGCCGAACTAGCCGCAATGCCCATGCAGTTTTGAGCTTCACATGTGTAAGTTCCGAGACAGCACGTTCCATCTTGTCCTGATATGATTCGATGAATGTCACCAGGTTTTAATTCTTCTCCATCTTTGTACCATTTGAGCACGGGTTGTGGCACGCCTATGACTTTACATTCTAAGTTAACAGCACCTTCGTCAGAGAGAATAGCTTGTAAGTTTTCCAAGAATCGCGGTTTTTTGTAATGTCGTGGTATGATGAGTTTGAGGAAACATGAAGTGACGCTGTGGCCAAAGTCATTCATGGCGACGCATTTCCACTCAGCCTGGTCTAGCAGCTCCAGTGCTTGGATGTCAAGATAAAATACTCCATGCTCCTCTTTGACTAAGTGGCAGCGGTTCGACTCATCTACGGGCTGATCGTCTCTGTACCAGAGGACCGATGGCTCAGGCGGAATAGCGACTGTAACAAGTGTCATTTCATTAAATACTGTAAAAGAAAGGAGACATTAGTTTTTAAAGAAGAAAATCAGCTATTTACACAAATTATAGAAAATTCAAATAAATGTAAAAATAAAGGATACCTTTAACAGTAAAACGGAATGGTTCATCAATCTTAGCTTCGACACTTTTCAGACCCTGTATGAATTTCGGTGCTTGGTTTTTAGAAAACAGCTGCAGTTTCTCCTCTTCATTAAGCTGGTTCTGGATATCTTCAACTGTGAGCTCTGCGGAGCTACTAGCCTGGCCCATGCAGTTGCGAGCGATGCAGCAGTATGATCCCAGAGAGTTGGTTCCAGTCAACTGTTGTACAATACGTTTTTATGTATTAATGTTGGAACTTGTGAGAGGTTTGATATATTATTACGCCAGGGAGTGAGACGCAGAATACATAGCAGCAATTTTTTGTATGGATAAGTCAACTATATCTTTATTTAAATTGGATAATAAATTTTTGTAACTCTTTCGAAGCTGACAATTTAATTCCTGTCCCCAGTTATTGTAAGTTTTGATTGGAGAAACAACGGCTATAGAAGTTACTTATAAAGTTATGTACGTCTCTCTGTAAACTCGGTGATGGTTGTATGCTTTGCATAATTCTATTTATGTTTATATGGTTGGTGAAAGGCACGATATAACAGAATGGGTCACCAAAAGTTTAGTCTCCCGAGCTCCTACGTGCTTCAGAAGGTATCCCAACCGTTGGTTCTGACTGCATCAGCAACTACAGAGTAAATAGGCCCATCATCACCAGCCTATTAACGTCCCTACAGCTGGGAAACAGGCTCTCCATACCTACGGATGGGATAGGGAGATTAGGTCATAAGCCACCCCGCGGGCTCAATGCAGTTAGGTGGGCTGCATCTGAACACTTTACATGCAGCTATGAGCAACGGCTTAACGGCACGTTCGGAAGCACGGAGAAGCTCGAGCTAATACATTTTGGGTCACCCTTCGATGACCAGTCATTGCAAAAAATACTTAATTTCCGCGATCGCGGACCAAACGCGCTAACCATTGCAGCCATTGAACTCCTCTGCAGTCGTATTACCCACCAATCCTCACTGAGCCTACATGTAGGTTCAGGACCTATTTTCCCTATTCCATCCTACTTCTCTATGGATAGAGAAGCCGGATGGAGATATTAATAGTCTGGTGATGATAATTTAATCACTTTTGGGTGAGAGATGAGCCTCGCAAATGATGGAAATCTGGGACGTATACCCTAGTGCCAAAAGCAAAAAAATGACTCGGGACAGCAGGCTGCGAAGGGACGGCAGAAGCCATTTACAGGCATTCGTTACCAACTTTATATTTTGATTTAACTTCGATTTATTAATGCTAGGGGAGGGGGTTGCAAATCCCCCAAAACCTAATAAAAAAACTTCGAACGATCGAGAAGAGTTGTATTGAGCATCCAGTTTAAATAAAGTTTCAATCCAATTTGAAACCTTTTCTAAGTTTGTTTTTAGTCAAGGCTTCCCTTACCTGGTACACATCTCCTGGTTTCAGCTCCTGACCGTCTTTGAACCAGCTAAGCACGGGTGTGGGGAATCCCACTACCTTACACTCAAAGGACACCAGCCCCTCCTCAGTCAGTACAGCCTGTAGGTTCTCCATGAAGCGAGGCTTGCGGTAGTTTTTCGGGACTAAAATTCACCAATACTAATTAAATAAGGCACATACTTATAGCACGAATCGATAAGGTACGCCCGTCTGTGGAAGTGAAACCCCAAATAATAAATTAACTGCAGACTTTACACTTAAAATTTGTTTGAGTGAAATTACTGCAGCTAGCGGGTTATTTGGCTTCTACCAGTAAAAGTGAGCATTTCTGTGGCAACAGCTGGAGTTAAAATCACATGACTTTTGCTACCCGCACCGATAATGTTAGCGGTAGCAATAAATACTTTTTCTTTCGCTGCCTATCCATATTTGGGTAAGCACCTTCTGTTTATTTACGTATAAGTAAAGCTTTTTTGTCCATTTTAGTGTAGAAAAGCCGCAGAAATAGTTCTGATTAATATCTACCCACTCAGTTAATGGATAAATTTAGATGGCGAGGAACAAGATATGGACAGACTGTGTGGAAGAGGATATGGCAATGAAACGACTTGATGATAAGGTCGCGAATGATCGGAAAGTATGCGAGAAAAAAACAGTGCAGTGCATAAGGATGCACTGATTCCAAATAAACATTGGGAGCAGGCCAGACTTATGAAGGATGACTCACCATCCATACTGACGTAGCAAGTGGAGATGCCCACCCTCCCGCCGGAGCTGGTGGCGACGCACTTCCATTCTCCCTCGTCAGGAAACTCGGCGGAAGGCACCTCCATTAAGTAGCCTCCCACACCGTCCTCCACCACGTGATATCTGAACAAATTTCTTTATTCCAGTAAAACTCCAGAATGTGCTGAGAATATAGGAAATGTTATGTTGTAAATTTGTAATAATGAAAACATGGTAGATTCCATCTTATCAAAAACTGCCCACGTAATATAACCACATGAGTACCTAATAAATATGGACACGAAATATAACATCTCCAACTGCAACCTGCAGAACATTAACGCGTATGTTAAATACACCACCTACATAACAAACAACCTCAAATCATTTAATTAATATACACAACCTATTAACAAATCCCATACTATTTGCAATATTATCGTGGTGTATACCACTAGTAACGAGATAATACTGAAGAAAGGTATTAAGTAAAAAAAGGTACATACCCTACTCTACATATAGTTATTTATGTGTGATTGCTAAAACAAAAAAGAAGACAGAGAAATATTACCGCTAAAGACATTTAATTAAAAATACAAAAACACAGTTTATAAAAAACTATATGTTAAAATAGAACGTTACGCCGTTGGTCCCGGCTGCATCTGCAGTCGTTAGCACCCGCCAATCCGCACCGTTCCCGCGTAGTGGGTCATGGCTCAATCTCCCTATTCCATCCATAGGGAAGGATTGTGCTCCAGCAGTGGGGACAGTAATAGGCTGATGTTGATGAAAAAGTAAATGAAATTCTGTAATTACTTTTAATTACTATTTTTTTTAAATAGTTTCTAATGTAAAGATAGGAATAAGTGCTCGTTACCCAAATAAAATGTTTACAAATAAAATAATGAGAGAGAACTTTCCAAATTCCACTGTTTCCATATCTCTAGTATTATTTATTCAACATTAACTTTACAGGCACTTTTGACGCCATCTATATAAACAAAAATATAATTTAAAAATTTAAAAATAATAAATTAGATAACCAACCAATTGTGGGTTGCGAAGTTGCGAAGAGATGGCGCTGCCTTGCAGCTTAAGAATGGCTAGAAGAATTTCGACGCGGTCCGTGAGGGCCGCGGTAGCATAATTGGTCAGTGCATTCGCCCGGATTGCGAAGGGTGCGGGTTCGAGTCCCGTCTGCTGCCTGGTCCGCGTGGATTTTTTTCTAGTTATATTTTCAATAGATTTAAACATCAAGCAGTTACATGCTTTAAAATAATAAAAATTATAACTATAATTGCTATTTCTTCTTTCAAATGTTTAATACTTGTAAAAGTATTCATTTGACCTTGTGGGTTACCTATAATGCGAAGAGATGGCGCTGCCTTGCAGCTTAAGAATGGCTAGAAGAATTTCGACGCGGTCCGTGAGGGCCGCGGTAGCATAATTGGTCAGTGCATTCGCCCGGATTGCGAAGGGTGCGGGTTCGAGTCCCGTCTGCTGCCTGGTCCGCGTGGATTTTTTTTTCTAGTTATATTTTCAATAGATTTAAACATCAAGCAGTTACATGCTTTAAACTAATAAAAATGGGTGCGTGTACTTATGTAGGCGCGTGAGAAGTTATCCTTCTTTGGCATCGTTTAAAATTAGTTTTTAATAGCATGCAAATAATTAATTACAATAATACAATAAATTAATAAAAAGTCTGGAAAAGGACACAGTCAATAAATTTCAGTTTTAATTTGAAAAAATAAATAAATAATCAAAATATTCAATTAAAATCGCTACTGAATATAATTTATTAGAACATATGTGATTTGCACTTCTATGAAACTCAAACACGTATTCCGAATATACAAACTAGAAACATGTGGATAAATATTATAAATATGAATACCTATAACTGTTACTTTATTACAAAAAATAAAGATGTGGTTTTTGGTTCTACTACACCAATGGTCAAGAGATGGCGCTGTAGTCTCCTGAATCGCGCTTTGGTTCCGTTGTTCCAGATTAATAAATACTTTTGATATTATAAATATGAATACCTACCTATAACTGTTACTTTATTATAAAAAATAAAAATGTGGTTTTTGGTTCTACTACACCAATGGTCAAGAGATGGCGCTGTAGTCTCCTGAATCGCGCTTTGGTTCCGTTGTTCCAGATTAATAAATACTTTTGATAGGCCTTCACAATGCAGTCGTTAGCACCCACTAAATAGAGATTCTATTTTGTTGGTAGATTTTCTTAATGTGCAGTAAACACAAAAGTAACGCATGAAGTAGGTCACTAAAGCGACCGACTTCATGCTGTTAAAATTTTGTGTTACAGTGATGCGCGCGCATCTTAAAATTTCACTCTCATCATTTTTTCATAACGCGCCTAAAGAAGTATAACTTCAAAAATTATAAATTAGATAACGTTACAGGCAACGTGATTAACTGGGCTTTATTAATAAGGACCGGCCATTATTAATAATGCCCAAAAGCGATGGCCAAAGTGATTAATTTATCACTTTGACCGGTCATTATTAATAATGCCCGACGGCCCGTTTACCATGTAATAAGCAGCGCATTTTTGAAAAACAAACTCAACGTACTTTATGAGATATCAAGAATTGGATGGGTGACGCCCTAACGGTAACCAAAAACAGAGTGCATGTCGTGGCTGGTCAAGAATCAAGATGTGCCTCAGTGTATGTAGGGTAGGATAGGCTCAGCATAAGTAGGCAGATGATGATGTCGCTTAGCAAAAAAAAATACGAACCTCTCTCCGGGTTCCAGTTTCCCCTCTTTGTTGTACCAGACGACGCTGCGCGGCCACGGCGGCACCATGATGCTGCAGCTGAGGGTCAGCGGCTCGCAGATCCTCACGAACTGGTCCTCCAACTCCTTCGTGAAGATCGGCGGCGGCTCTGGTGCGATGCCGCTACAAAGATGGATATTTTAAAAGGCACCCGAAAATCGATCTGCGAATAGAGAGAAGCTAATGCAGTAGAGGTGTGCTCAATATGCACCCTCGCCAATATCCCCTACTCCGTGGAGCTTTAGCAGTCTAAAAGGTTGAGTTAATATATTGAGAGAATATGAATATAAAACTATGCGGCATATTTCTTCTGGACTCACCTAGCAGTCGTTCTCTCCTTGCTGGCGCGACCAACTACGTGGACCTTGGATGAGGAGTAGGCGCGGCCCATGCAGTTGACCGCCTCGCATGTGTATGTCCCCAGGGATGTGGGGTCCTCCGCGCTGGCAGTCAGCGCGAAAACGTCACCTGCTTTTATCTCTCGACTGTCCTGAGGTCATATCATCATCATCAGCCTATTAAATTCTCCAATACTAGGGCACAAGTCTCCATATAGATGGCATAGGGAAATGGGCCATGACCCACCACGCCGGCCCAGTGCTGATTAGTGGGTGCTTACGACGACAGCCGGGGCCAAAGGTTAACGTGCATTCCAAAGCAAGGAGGAACTCGAGATAAATAAGTTTTTGGCCAACCATTCAATATTTGCGAAATTGCGAAAAATGATTAATTTTGAGGATCACAAACCGAACGCGCTAACTAACTGCGCCATCAAGCTCTGAGCGTCTGTTGCGTGAAAAGTATCGCGCTTATATGAGCAGCGATTAATAAAGTTAAGTATTTTTCGCAAAGGCCCGTTATGAGATGGGTGACCAAAAATGTGGTATCTTTGTACTTGAAATAACGTCCCTGTCAGCCTCGTCTGTTTTTGCTCTTATTACCCACCCCAGCACTCACTAATTTGCACTAGATTTAATTTATCAAATTATAAGTGCGCAATAAGCAGTTTTCCAGAAAAGAGCTCTTTTAAAAGTTTAAAGAAAACGATAAATTAAATAGAATTCAGTGTATTTCAGCATCATCAGTCACTCAAAAATTATTAATAAACTATAGAAAACTATACTTATACCTAACACCAGCTAAACACTATATACTTAACAATTAAGCAAACGGAATAATTAATAAAGAATAGATAATTTCATAAATTTGAAGAATGACAAACTTATTGTGATTCAACAAGTTCATGTAATCACTATAAAAAGAGTGCAAAAGTTGCAGGCTGGTTAGCACTTAACATAAGGTGGGGCGGCGTAATTTGCCGGACCTTTCATATATAGTTGGTCCATGAGGAAAACACAATTGAAGCGATATACCTTGAACCAGCGCAACACTGGTGTAGGGACTCCCACTACTTTGCACTCCAGGGAGACTGTGCCTTGCTCAGTGAGTAGCGCTCTTAACTCCTCGACGAATTCTGGTCGTTTGTATGCCTTCGGCACTGGAAAATGATGACTGATTTATAACATATTAAGCTATATGAGAAACGGTAAGAACCACTAGCTCTCTCAGTGGTATATTAATCAAAACGCAGTAAGCTAATAAAATGAGTTCTAAGCAAATTTCCACCTGATCATCAACATACGATAGTACTAAGTGTACGATAGTAGGTAGTGTCAGTAAAGAGAGCCATTTTCCCAACCTCCCACGACAACGGCTAACTAGGTCCGTTTCTCAGAAATGCCCTCTAGTTGAGCCGATCTCCTCAAGTTCGAGTGGTCCAGCGGCTCTAGACGGAAGGGTGGCTCCCTTCTTCCGGAGATCCCGGCCATCTAGCCAGAATATCATTCGCCAATCAATCGCATAGACACTCGCCAATTTCATAATCTCCGACCAACAGCATACACACGAAAAAAACGTGTAATTTTACGTGATAACGTGTCGGTCGCTGTTTCCTCGGGGCAGTTTTGTGGGGCGCCTCTGTAGCTCTATGGGGGCCCAAGTTAGGCTCCGCAGGGGTGAGGTACTCTTCGAGGGGGAGGGGAGAGAGGAGTGGGTCAGGGTGGAGCGGGGGGAGTGTGGGAGTGGGAATTCTAAGGAACCCCTCACCTCACCTCACAAACACCGCAGAACGCTGAACTAACGTAGCATAACGTGACTCAAAAAGACTTCATGTCACGCATGAAGTCTTTTTCCTGCGAGCAGCCGGTGTTCATCGATTTCATGACACGTCAATATATCTGCCCTATATACCTAGCACGTTGAGGTGCGCGGAGCAGCTGGCCCGGCCGCCCGCGTTTTCCGCTGAGCAGGTCCAGCGGCCCGCGTCGTCGACACTCACGGCCGCCAGGTCGGCGCACCAGAAGTTGCCGTCCCGCACCAGCGCAACCCGCTCTGCCTCCATCAGGCGCCGCTCGTTGCGGTACCACGTCACCTGAACAAAACGACAACAGAAACCATCACTACAGCGCTTTTTAATGGCGGATGTGCTACCTTTGGCATAAACCAATTCTCGAATTCAAATACATAGTTGAATTCGATCTCGTAATGCGTCATATGTCAAGAAGTTTTGTATGAAAGATTTTTAATTCTCGTTACGTCCGTTGTGGAGCTGTTCAAATTTCCATTCATAACTCCTTGACATTAAACTTCTTGAGATCGATTTTGGACATTGATTCTTATGATTCGTGCTCAAGGTACAGAAATCGGCTAGCGCAACTAAACAAGTATTACCAAGTAACCAATTATATAGGTATCGGTAGCTTAATAATTGGTTAGTGCGTCCGCCCGGATAGCAGTTCGAATCCCGTCTATAACAGAGTGGAATTTTTTCTAGTACACTTTTTGTACTTACATATTTCTTCGTTTTTTACCCGGCTGCGCAATGCAAGAGCGCGAAGCGCGACGCGCAGACAGGGTTATGTGTTTAACAGTCTATATATGTATGTTTGTTCCTTTGTGGCACACTAGAGACCAAACGCCTGGACCGATTTTGATGATTCATACATCAATCGCTTCGTCTCAATCATGGAAGTGCTACTAAAGATATGATAGTAATCAAAATTCAATATGGGCAAAATTAGGCGCCATATTGTGACGAAGTAAAAAAAAAAAGTTGACAAAATATGTCGAGTGGGGTATCACTGTCTAGATAATCGAAAATCATATTTAGGTTCCTAACACCATTTTTCATTTTATATGATTGTTTAGGATCTACAACGCTTTAAAGTTGTATATTAACCACTTACGCTTTTAATTTCAATCTTACGTTTGTATGGATCTTTGTTACTCTTTCACCTAAAAAATACTGAATGGATTTTAATGAAACTAAAGTAATATAGCTCACATATGATAATTACATATATATAATAATTTATGTAGTTATTGAGTGAATTGGCCAATATATAGCAATAAGTGTCACATAAGCCGGAAAAAAATGTCCCATCTGCGAGCCATTTTGGCCTGCACTGCAAAAACAATAAAAGTTACATGAGTGTAATGTAGAGTGGAAATGTATCTCTTAAATAGTTCTAAAAAAAAGTCCGTGACACCATATATCTATTTTTAATGTGTAAGTCATTACCGCTAAAATAGTGAATCAAAACTAAAATATTATTTGATATCTATTACCGAAATGCACATTTTGTATTAACAAATCATTTTTTATCAAAACAAATACTTTAATCGCTTTTGATATTTAAAGACGATAAACTTTGCTTACTATACTATGTCATTTCGACAAATATTTAAAAACTTACAACGACGACAAAGTGATGACGCGTTGTACTATGTAAAAGAAAAAAAAATGGGGTATTCGCAGTATCTGATCCTATACGAAGCACTAACAGTAAAACTGTGATACAGTTCCTTCTTATTAAATGATGAAAAATATATTATCATAATAGGTATTTATGATTATTGAATTTTAATGAAAAACTCAGAATTTTACTGTTTTTCATTTTTTTTAACGATATTACTTAAGGTTACAAAAAAGGTTTACTTAATATATTGACAAATAACCCATTTTTCGCTAGTAAGTACATACTTATTGGAATCGCTGTATTTATTAATCAGCTCGCGATAATATTGGTTTTGTAATAATTCTGCAAAATTCAAAGTAAATAATGTAGATTTTTATAGGTAAATCACCCCTTTCATCACCCTACGCCTATAAGTATTGCGATGTTGTAGCTAAGAACCAAGTTCCCATCTACTTCTATATGAGAATTCATTATATTCGATTTAGCTATTAGGGCACGGAAGCGCAGCAACAAACAAAGTCACTTTCGCATCTATAATATTATATTATACTTACTAGTGATCCACCCGGGCATTGTACGGGCGAAATTTATTTATCGGGATAAAATATAGCCTATGGCACTCGGACAAAATGTATTTAAATAAAGAAAAATGTTATAATAAATAATGTAGCTACCTTATGATGAATTAATATTTGAAACCGGTTCAGTAGTTTGACAGATTATTTGTGACAAACATACAAATCTTGCCTCTTTATAATATTAGTATAGATAGTTAGGATAAGATAAGTATTTAATTGCTGAAAAAGATTTTAAAATAAAGTAACTAATAGGTTTATTTTATTATATTTGTAAAAGTTACTTAGCATTTGTGCTTAACAGTGATTTTCATAACAAAAAAAAATTTGGAAAATAATTGCCATGATTGCACTACTGGGAGTGCTCTTCATTCGAGCTTTACACTACCAATAACCTAACGTTATGAAAATTTTATTATGCGCCTTTAGTTTAATCAAATATTATAAACTTTGCTTTGGTGATTATAATTATTTAATTTAGTGATCTAAGGCAGTTGCCACCATTGTCCAAAACAACAGACGGGAATTACTTCTTTCTTCAACCTGCGACATAAACGTCATTGATTGGTATTGTATATAGGATGATTAAAAACATTTGAAGTTAACTTCTGGCATCTACATATTGGGTATCTGTGAATTATGTAGGTATATCAAATTATGAGACTAGGGACTGACACTGAATTTGTGTATATCACAATCTTAGACGTCCGGCATTGACATGACAATGCAGCCATTGCCATTTTTAAATAGTCGACGAATAAAAGTAAATGAATTTTATATTTACTGCTAAACGATTAAAAAAACATAAACAAAAGATGACTTTTTGAGTAAGTGCTAGTTTACTATAAAATTTACATACATTAGAGATATTTATGTAACGACTTGATTTAACTTCACACATTTTTGCGAAAATTGAGGCCCATCTGTAGCCTTGACCCCGCTGGTAAAGTCTTTATATGTCTTAATAAATCAATCTTTTAGACCGACGCAAGGTACTTAATAATTCCCGCGATATTAATTCCCTTACTGAAGTAACAAGACTACGGTATATACCGTCTTAAAATACTAACTAAAAAGTGTGAAATAAAAAAGGTAAATTTAAAAAATCAAAAAACCCGACTGCTTAATTATTCTTCAAATAAAAACTGAAAAGAAAAAAACAAGTCCAGTAGGCTATAATTCTGTTAATACGGAACAAAGCTACTTTAACAGTCGGGACCCATTGTTGAAAAATATTATGTATTCTTGAATATCTAATGGGTCCGGACTGTTAAAGTAGCTTTGTTCCTTATTAACAGAATTATAGCCTACTGGACTTGTTTTTTTCTTTTCAGTTTTTATTTGAAGAATAATTAAGCAGTCGGGTTCTTTGATTTTTTAAATTTACCTTTTTTTTAATTCCCATTTCTTTACTTCGAGATTCGGTTTCTTATGTTCATTTGTGAAGATAGGGCATATAATAGTTTCCACAGAGCTCGATATTGGGCTTTGGTCATTCAGTTATGGAATTAGGTACATCATATAAAACAAAAACTGTATTTAATATTAGATAAATAAATATAGTTTGATTAGAAGCGGCACATCTCACAGCCCTTTGATCGGGTGGGTGAATTGTGTTCCTCTGACTTTTTATTTATAACCTTTAAGATATCTACAAATCCAATATTATTGAATATTTTATTAATATATTATTATCAATAACTAGTCTGGCCATAAATACTGTTACATAAAAACTTTTCTTCTTTCTACTTTTTCTTTATTTTGAGTTTGGACCACGTGTATTATTTTAAAAACTTCTTTTGATATTGCGCCATTTCATATATTTTTTCGTATTCATTATCAAATTACAATATGGAATGGGGTGTTAAAGTAAATAGGATTGCAGACATCGCGATGCACAAAGTGGGTATGGAGCCGTCGATCATATTCCAGACACTTCAAGAGATTTGTATCAGCCGTATGTTCGTATATCGTACTATCAACTGATACAACAACACTTCGTCTGTCGAAGACCAGCAGCCACGTGCTGAAACCTCTCAGAAAAACACTTTTTAAAAATATACCGTGGACTTTCCAGCAGGATTCTGCACCTGGTCACATGACACGAACTACCTTGCTTAAAACCAACGTTGCGGACTTTATAAGAGCTGAAGACTGGTTCTCAACTAGCACGGACCCCAACCCTTTAGACTTCAAATTATGGTCGGTTTTAGAGGACATTGCCTGCTCCAAACGACACGGCGACATTAAGTCTCTTAAAAAATCTTTGGAGGAAGCAGTGGCAAATTTTCCTTGGAAACAGTGAGTAAATCCATAGATTCGTGGCTAAACAGATTAAAGGCCTGTATTTAAAGCCAAAGGCGGCCATTTCGAATAGATTTTTTTTACTGAGACTAAAATACTGTATATATAGGTACAAATTTTAATGATATTACATTACTTCATTAAAAAAATGCATTTTTATTTGTATCAGAACTTATGACTGGACTAGATATAATACAAGTACATATCACAGTATACACTCGTCGTCTTGAGTAATACATAGCATGTTTTAAATGGATGAACACAAATATTTACTTAAGTGATGCACACCAATTGGCAGAAAAGTAAGTCCCTATGTATACATCACTACTGTTACACCGCTTTACAGTCTGTCCATAAAGATTCTTATTGTGATGACAACACACACAGTGGACGCTACGCAGTTAGTGTGTCAAAACAGATGGTTGGAACAAAAATACAATAAAGTGCGCGCAGCGGATGTGTGTATTCCAAAATAGATATTTGCGTAAGAATTCTTGGCGAACAAGGTTCCATTTTTGTGTACACATCGCAATATACTACAGGGAAGTTCGTTGTTTCCATTATCTGGTGTATTTTAATAATTTAACCCCAGCACAGATTCCCTAAGCATTTATTGAATTACAAATTCTAAATACAAAGTCTAGTGTATATTAATTAGGTGTATTTGAACAACCTACCATGATTTCGAATTGTAAATTCGTCGCAAATAAATTTCAAAACAAACAATTAATTTAGGCTCCACATATCACATATTACTACATTGTACGTAAGTTTAATATAGTCCAATGCTCTCTTAAAGCTACTTAATTTATTTACTCACTAAACATCGTAACAAACAACCACGCACGCCTACACAAAACAATTGTCAAAATTAATAAAGCATTTAGGAATTAACACATACTTTATGTTTACTTTTGTTTACTTCTGATGTTATGGTTTTAGGGTAAAATTTCGCTTGTAAAACCTTGCGTGGCGGCTTGTTATTGACGGAATTATTTTTAATAATGATTCTACCGTACCTTTAATGAAAAGGACAAAACCCGACTAATATTAGTCTTTGCCCCGTACGTTTGTCCGTTTCACAAGTCCCTATTGCTAAGCACCGCGTGGACTTATAAAGCTGGAATTAATATTAAATAAGTACTTTGTTCTCATGCCTGCAATTGCTTAGAGCAGTGAAAATATAAAATTTCAAAGTTAAGCAATCAAAAATTACGGCCCCTTGTGCTCCGTTTATTTCGCATATTTTTAAGCTCGCGAGGGAATTCAAAGTAAAATAGGGTACTTCCCTTTGACCTAGAATCATGAACTTCAGCAAGAAGCAATACCGTAAGCAGTGTAACTATAATAAAATATACAAATTATAATAGTATAAGCAAATTGTGTACATCACATAATATCGATTCCAGTAATGAACGAACTATTATACCATTTATTATATTATACATTCCTGTAAATTTTCTACGGAACCTTCTTTGCAAGCGTCCGTCTTTTTTAATAGCGATCCATTCCGTAGTAAACATTTTCTCACTGTTTTCGATTAACTTAACTTTGCGTGGTGAATATTTGAAATAACACGTCTAAGTTCATTTTGGCCGTAGGCCGTGGGACGCCCTTTATAATATGTTAACTGGATATCCGACACTTTTATACGGCTTGAATTTGTAATATCTTTATATCAATTAATGGTATCTACTTTAGATGTATTTAAAATTTGTTTGTTTAAGTCAATTTGTGACCTTAGTTAAATAATACAGAGTGAATCAAGAGGAAGATATATATATATAATTATGTATTATATAGTTGTTAAAACTAAAATTGGTATTTTCGTTACCTTGCATTCTGTAGAGCTGACGATTTCGACGAGGAACCGGGTCCTAGTGCCGACCTTTACGGTGAGGTCCTGCAGGCGGCGCAGGAAGGTGGGCGGGTCCTCTCCCGTGGGTGTCTCCTCCGCCGCCACCTCGAGCCGCACCCGGGCCGCATCACGCCCGGCGGCGTTTCTGGCCTGTTTAATAGTACTTTGTTCACCGTGGGGAGAAAGTAGCCTATTAACAACGAGGGTGTATTTGAGCCGCAGCCGAGGGCCTTAATATACCCGAGCTGGGAATAGTACTTTAGTATTTTCTTTTGAGGGACACATAGTGATTTAAACTATATCTACGAGGAAATAAAAGACAAATTCTTTAATTGAAATATAAATTATTGCAGTCATTAAGACTTAGTACGGATTGAGCCCAGTTGGAACTGGGGCCAGTTAGTGCGGATAGGGCCCAGTGCCCTCCCCTATCCGTCTCAATATATTTCTTTTGCCTAGCCATATCGCCATACCGTCCGCAAAAAAAGCCGTCCGTAAAAAAGCACATTAACAAACAAATTTTCATAAACAATTTAATTTTGAAATGGCACCAACCGGCTGCGGTAAGGCGGAGCACTTTCAGCTTTCAGTGTGAATTAATTTTTGTCTTTATCTACACACTTAATGGACCAGTATCGTTTAAGAAACTCTAAGAAATCGCGCGACCGCCCCCTTTGCCACATGCTCGCGGTGTCATGGGAACTTTTTTCTCTCTTTAATACTTTCTGCTTCAGCTATAGGTAGGTAGCTGCAAACTGATTAAGCGAAACTAGAGACAAATAAACTTACGCAGTAGACGTTTGTCGTTTTTGTATGTAAAATTTGCTACTGGTCTTGCCTATGGTCGTTTCAACAACAGATTGTTGTATGGATTCAGTACCCTTTGACTCTGCAGTTTTATATAAGCAACTGGACAAATTAAGTGGCCCAATCACGATCCTGCATTGCAGTCCACCGTGCAGGAATCAAGACGCAACCTACTTGATGTTGCCGGACGCCTTATAGGCTGCGACAATGTTCACAATCCTGCATATAGCGGCGGAGTGTCCTGAATGGGCCTCTTTATACCAAAAATAATGTCTATGGCCGTTACTCAAGAAGGGGTGTATGTTGTTCAGTCCACTCTCTTGATCCGTGGTAATACTCACTTGTAGCGTGTACACGCCACTGTCCCCGGTGCGGGCGGCGGAGACGGTGAGCCGCACGCCGCCTGCGTCATCCGAGGTCGTAAAGCGGTCGTCCAGCGACGCCCCCGCGCGGCTCCTGTGGCGACAAGATAGTGTACAAGCTGCTTTACAACCGATAACTGATCTGGGGGCCATTCTCCTAACGGAAATGCTTTGGAAAACGCTAACGCTTTCGATTTCATTTTGTTATTTCTAGCCACCTGAGGTTTTCAAATAACTCGCGCTTTATTTTTTCTTTTGCATTGATAATAACAATATTAAAGAAAATGAGCGTGAGGTATTTGAAAACCTTCGGTGGTCAGTAATAACAAAATGAAATCGTAAGCGATAGCGTTTTCCAAAGTAATCCCGTTAGGCGAATGGACCGCTGCTGGTGCCTTAAACAAGTGGCCATCTTGTTAATCTAGCGAATGCTAATGCTTACTTTAATATTTAAAAACATACTTTTTATGATGTCTGTTAATAATAAAGAGTAAAAACAGTTATGTGTATAACGAAATCTTTTTCAAATCAAATATTTGATACACATAAAACTTTGGTAGGTACTATTAACAATCGAATTGTATATAGCTTATTTTCCATCTTTTAAGTTAGCATTATGGTTTGAACGAATATAATAAATACCACTTGTCTTATCCCCCCTTTCTTTGAGTCTTTTTATATAATATCAACTTAAATGAAATTCAATACATCGAAGGTGCAATCACTATAGACTGCAGATAATGCAGAAAATATATGCTTTCTAATAAAACACCTTTTGAACGTGTATAAAGCGCCATTTATTAACTTTTCCGGGTTCGCAACACTTGCTATACCAGAGTCTGTAAGACAAGGATCTGAAACATCAGAAGTTACATAATGAAAAAAGTTAAAAAATCTGTTCATAGCGACAACCCTGGGTCTCAAAGCGTTTGCAGTGTTTGTACACTGTTAATTCTTCTCGTAAATTGTTTGACATATTACCTAATATGCCTCGGTAATGGTGCTCATTAATAGTTTTTTTTTGTTAAATTAGAGCTGTATCCACTGGTCGTCCTAATTGACCTTAGTTTTGCAGTCTGCGATTGATTGGCCACTAGTTGGGTAGTTGGTCAAACAAATCGACTGGTCAGCTCTTATTTATCTCATTGAAAGGTGAAATGGAACCACAAATTGCTTTTAACCTACCTACTGTTAATTTAAATACGAGAATCATCGACAGGCAAACTACGTACCTAAATTGCCATTGTTGTCCGAAAGGCATCAACGGCAAAGTCTGATTGGTCGTATTGTTGTTTGAAATCGTCTGGTTTATGACCAACTAGTCGACTTAACTTTTGTTGACTTTTCGTACAATCAAACAAATCCCTAGGAATAATCCTACTAAGATACTCTAATAATAACATAAAGAGATAACTTGGATGCTTTTTCGTTGATTCGTTGAGATTCAGATGCTGAATTTTGGCTGAACGGATTTATTTCTGGATTTTCATTAACTTACAGTAATTAAAGTTCTACCTAATTAAATAACATCTTATGATATTAAGTATAAGTAAAGTAGATAATATTCAGGATGAGCTGCTAATACCAGGAGCCACATGGTATTTCAAAAGGACAATGTTAAAAATGGCCTAAGAACCAACAAGTATATTTTTTGCGATAATTATCAGTATTTAGATTGTAACGGACACTTCCAGTTAAGTAAGCTAAATTAAAAAGTTAAAAAATAATCTGAGACAATAAATACCATTTTATGTGTATAATCTATGACAGCGCTGCAAACAAAACACTCTTTCTTCCTAATGCCGGAACTTCACTTGGCTATTCGTATTTGCTATTTGAAAACTTGTCATCAGTCTGTCCTTTTCATTCCTTATTAAGCATGACAAGGACAAACTGTTGTCAAGTGAAGGGCCGGCATAAAACTCGATACTCTGTGGTTGTGGTGCAGGCAGTTTGCATTCGTTTTCAGTTTCCAAAGAACAGCGACCTTATTACCGACTGCTAGTAAATCTGTGCCACAACATCCTGAGAGAATCATACTGCCAAATTATTCAAGAGCACCTGATACACATTCACGCTGCATATTTACACAATATACCTGTGATATACAAATATATACAATATATAAGCAAAACTACAGATTTTATTTTATTCATAATTAGTTTTCATAATATTTTAAGTTCTCAGAAGTGTCCGTCAATAAAGCTTTGTTTTTACAGTCATTTACTTGCGATTTCGAACCTAGAAAATAATATTTCATGATTGTTGGTTCTTAGGCTAACTATGTAGTGACGCAGAACAATGTCCTTTATATGCTACTAAAGATGTGTATAAAGTATCATTCCGATATAATAACGTATCTAATAAGTTTGAACTAAATAATTACGTGTCATTCTGACTGGCCACCCTTCACCAATAGCTTTCACAATATACATAAGATCAAATTCAGTTTCTTTTATTATACTTTTACGTCGTACTATTTTGAAATAAACTCGAATATTCCAAAGAGTATCTTATAGACATTTTTTCAAAGGACAATGTTAAAATTGGCCTAAGAACCAACACCAATTTGGCATTTAATATCAGTATTTAGATTGTGACGGACACTTCCAGTTATGAAAGCTAAATTAAAAATTAAAAAAATAATTTGAGACAATAAATACCATTTTATGTGTATAATCTATGGCAGCGTTGCAAACAAAACACGTAAAAACGTAATACGTAAACGTAGTAATCTGTGGCATCCGTGCATTCCAAAGAGAAGTATATTATACCGGAAAGTGCATTCTCGTTTCGGAGTACCTGTTGTGTGTGTTTATTTGCGATTGTTTTTCCTTTAATTTAACTATTTCGGCTATCTTATATGCCATCGATGTTACCAAAGAGGAGAGCCCTTATTACCAAGTGCTAGTGAACCTGTGCCATAACAACCTGAGAGGATCATACTGCCAAATTATTCAAGAACACCTGATACACATTCACGCTGCATATTTACACAATAAACCTACATGTGATATACAAATAAATGCAATAAACAATATGATACAATTATGTGAAAAATAGTCAATAAATAAGGAGCAAAACTACAGTTTTTATTTTATTCATGATTCCTTCTTAACCAAGTTTTTCCTAATAGTTATTCTTTAAAATCGCACCGAATAAAATGAATTAGTTTTAATATTAATTCACTTCATACTGAGTTTATACTAAATTCATAGGTTGACCTATGTTTCATTGAATATTAAACATAACCTCAAAAAAAATTAGTTTTCCTGATAATTTAAGTTCTCAGAAGTGTCCGTCAATAACCTTTGTTTTTACAGTCATTTAGTTACGATTTTGAACCTAGAAAATAATATTTCATGATTGTTGGTTCTTAGGCTAATTATGTATGGACGCTGAACAATGTCCTTTCAACTTATTATAAGAGCAAGGAGGGTTCGATATTATACTTTTTGGGACACAGGATGGATGTGCCATTGCAAAAAATGCTTAAATTTTACAATAGCAGACCTTCGATAAAACTGCCCTTGTGAAAAATCCTGACATAAATTCATTTTCATGTTTCATTAACGTCATTCATTGCGTCATTCCCTCATATATTTACTTTGCATCATGCTTTTAGGAACCTTCCTTACTTTTATGCTGAGTACCTACTCAGCATAAAAGTCCGGCTACGTCTAGACAAAAGTAGTCGGAGATACGGAACGTAAACTTTAAAAAAGATGCACAGGCTTCTACAGAAGATAATTTAGTTAAGTAACCGAGACTAAAGATATAATTTTAAAAACAAAAGCTTTGCATTTTCAGTCTCACAAAGTCATACAGAAAATCAAATGAAAACCAATTTAACCATGATGTCAATTAGAATTACAAAATATTGAATAAACAATAATAAATGCTTACATACAAATATTTAACAACTGCTCAACTTTTAGTGAATGTAGATATACGATAGAATAGAAAATGTAATTATTTACCTAATATAATAATTATAACTTTTAACTAAGAAAATTTTCAGTCAGCTTGGCCAAGAATTGTTGGTATTAGATTTTATTATCGATTTTAACTGTTTCACTTTAAAACTTAAACAGCTGTCAAATTCTAATAATTCAAACGATAGTACAAATAAACAAAAGACAAACATAATGATGGCCATCAAAAAATTAAGTACAAATCGCATTGAATCTGCTATAATTTCTTAAAACTTAATTAAATGTTGGAATGAATTTAGTCATACGCGCAACGCTAACATTCGTTCTATAATTATATATTAACGTTCTTTGTATAGACGGTGGTAGTCAGTCACCGACAGACTAAATTTTTATGGGATGTAGTGAACTTAATGTAAATAGTTTGACCAAAAACAAGAATTTATTTTATCTCCGTTTTTTTTAATAATTATTATACTATAAAATCATAATATTATTGATTGACAAATGGCAAGTTTAATTATCTTTTTTTTGGTTGCAAAAGCATCAAATATTCTTTTCAATAGGTAAATAGTAATAAGTAGCGATAATTATTCTGTTCATTTTTCAACAAATGATTATGAATTTTGTGGGTATTTTATTTTAAGATCAATCAATTATTACTTGAACTTAAAAAGGTTAGCCGAAATCACAGGAGACCGAAGAACTGGCAGCCACTTCGGACAAAGAATTAGTCTAGCTATTCAAAGGAGGAACGCTGCCAGTATCTTTGGAACCTTGCCTAAAGGGACTCCTTTTAATAATATATTTTAGTTATATATATATTTTAAGGTTTTTAGTTATAAATATCTTACTATTAGTTCTTTAGTTAAATGTACATACATGTATTTATATTGTGAATAAATATTTATAAAACTTGAACTTTTTATTAAAATGATATTGTATATTTATTTTTTATTTAAATAAGTTATTTTTTACGAAGTTTAAAAAAAACACGCTTCTCCCGTACAAATGCAACTAATTGCCGAATCGATACAACTTTCTTATAAGATAGGTACACTGAATAGCGATTGCGATTTTGGTCAATCATTCTGCCGAGGTCCACATGCTCACATAAATATTACGCTACTTTTTACTGGGTTGGGGATAAATAAAAATAATAATATTTTCTGATCATTTTATAGCGTAAAATGAGCGTTCAAATGTTGAATGTTTCATCGC